GTTTTACAGGGAGATACTTTGAAACACGCTGCGTTTTACAGGGAGATACTTTGAAACACGCTGCGTTTTACAGGGAGATACTTTGACACACGCTGTGTTTTACAGGGATATACTTTGAAACACGCTGCGTTTTACAGGGAGATACTTTGACTCGCACTGTGTTTTACAGGGATATACTTTGAAACACGCTGCGTTTTACAGGGAGATACTTCGACTCGCACTGTGTTTTACAGGGACATAATTTGAACCACGCTGCGTTTTACAGGGAGATCCTTTGAAACACGCTGTGTTTTACAGGGAGATACTTTGACTCGCACTGTGTTTCACAGGGAGATAATTTGAACCACGCTGCGTTTTACAGGGAGATACTTTGACACACGCTGTGTTTGACCCATTCTGTTTTCTAATTAGAGATACTTTCATTCACACGAAAAAGGTGATTTAAATCGTTGATTTAAATAAGATTTTCGAGTCGAATAGTTTTGAATATAATGAAGGAAAACCGCAATGGTTAAAAACATTTGCTGTGTTTTATACCATTGACGTGAATTTTAGCACTCAATAAGGCATATGAATTATTCTATAGTTATATATTTATTTTATGCGTATTCCATAATAAACAATCAAACAATGATTTGACGACGAGTTTACACACAACATAAGTGGTCCTCTTCCGAAAGCACAACGCGAACAGTTGTACCAGCTACATGGTATACATGTATTTCCTTAACAGTCTTCCAGTACAATTCAATTTATTGCTAAATGCTGTAGGTATTTAACAGGAACCGGTCTTGGCGAAAAATTGATCACGCTAACTTGTTGTTATGTATCAGTAAACAGCCTGTGTTTGAAATGAATGAATCAATGTATTTTCTTTATGTAAAAGGGGAAAGAAATGAGCAAAGTAGTTTCAGACGCATTTCACTCCCTTTCTCCCTTATTGGAGGTTTTAGAGCTTGACACCAATACATTATTGCTACATGATGATGTTACGCAGTCTTTGTTTAAAATGTTATTTGTTACTCTAATGTTGTAGTTGTTTAATAGTAACCAATGTTCCTGTACGATTGATCTCTAATGTTGTAGTTGTTTAATAGTAACCAATGTTCCAGTACAATTGATCTCTATATGTTGTAGTTATTTAATAGTAACCAATGTTCCAGTACGATTGATCTCTATATGTTGTAGTTGTTTAATAGTAACCAATGTTCCAGTACGATTGATCTCTATATGTTGTAGCTATATTTCAGTAACCAGTCTTCTTTAAATATTGTGGTTGTTTAATATTTACCAGTATTAAAGTGCAATTTATTTCTATATTGAAGACAATTGTGGTCCAGTCTTTTTGTTGACTTGACCTCTCTTATCTGTAGGTATTTGTCGGTGGCTATCGTTTGAGTTCACTTGATTTCCTTCTCTTTTAGCTAAAGGAAGATGGTTAAACCTGACAACCCTACTGACGATAGTCTGACTGCTAACAGCTATAAAGCACAGTTAGGGAAGCCTATTGATGATGACGAAACACCAAGGTCACGGGAGGACAGTAGAAGGAGGCCTTATGCGGGTATTGATAGTGAATTGCCTTTAAACCAAGGCCTTGACATGCAAGCACAAAATGGGTTGCAGAAAGAAGGAGGAACGGGTGATATTCCTCAAGAACAAGGAGATTTAGACAAAACGTAAGTGGAATTGAACTATACATAACTGCACAAACAGACTAAGGCTTTAAATGGGGTTTACGATATCAACAGTAATGTCAGAACAATGTTACATCAATACCTACATGTTTAAAGAAATTCGAAGCATCGCACGTTTTTCACCTGTAAACAATTCGTATCTGTTTCTACAACGAGGAACAAGGTTTTTTTTGAATTTCTGCGAAATCTTATATTACACTGTCATACCTTTTGCACAGATTATGTTTCAAGAAGATACTAATTTTCATGTTTTAACACAGTCTAACGGAGATGCTTGTTGGGAAGTTTAGCGATATTCGGGGTAGCCATAGACGGGATCAGCTTTCCAAACACCTTGGAGTATCTCTTCACGAGCACGTTCAAGGGTCTGAAACCATACTAGGAGTCAATGTACGCGAGCCACCCACGAGGCGGCATGATTTAGAGGCCTCCTACAACATACAGACTACAGACAGTGGTTTCAAACAGCAGCTGGTAGACCTGATGGACAGACCTCACTATACACGGTATGTATTATATAGTAAAACATTGTGAACAACCCTCTTTTGCAGGTTTTAAAATATATTACTGGGAGGCCAATCTGACAGATTTTCCCATTCTAGTTGGATATCATACGGATATCAAGCATGCGATGACTCTGACTATAGGAAGCTATCCCATTGTCGTTTGATACGCTTTTAGCATCGAAATATTGAAATATGAAATGAACCAAAAAGCAATGGATATACAGTGTGAACACTACCAGTTCGAGGTGGGATTTTTCTTAAAAGTATTGAACCGGAAGTTGAATTGATGCGGCGCGAGCCGGACTGATATGATGCGTGCTGGGCGGGTATGGGTGTGTATGGGAGATGGCTTATGCACCGCTAGCGGTATCACATATGCCAAACAACCCATACCATGAACAAGTACACGATGATTGCATATTCATGCATTGATTTACGACTTCTTCATTACCACCTGGGTCCCACAGGAGACGTTATTAAGTGGAAACAATCAACTAGAATGACTTATTTTTTTCTTACAGAGATCCTCCAAAGTTAGTCAACGTCAAGTTCCAAGTAGTGGGCTTCCTTGGGAAAGGAGCAGAAGCGGAGTGTTTTCTATGTGAGGATGTGAATACAAAGCAACGCGTTGTCCACAAAAAGGTAGGCTGAATAATAGTAAATAATAAATCGATAAATATAATGATCTTTTTAATACAAAACAGTTTAAAGTATTCTGTAATTCATCTTAATGATTTCAACAGTACTATGGAAAGCCACGGGAAAGAGAAAGAGACACTCTAAAAACCTTACGACATAAAAGCATACCAGCTTTTTACGGTACAACAGTGGAGGATGGCCGTAACGTCTTGCGGATGGAGTTCTGTGGTATGATTACCCTTAGTATTTCTTATGAATAAACGTTCTATCATGTATATTAAACTAATTTCACTGTCAAAAGCCGTAGATGTCTATGTAACCTGCCTGTTCTTACCGAGTACTTGAAACTCGCTTTCCTTCCTTTCTGGCCATATTATCAAATATAGTCTATGGCAATCATGCTGCTATAACCAGTTTGCCAGAATTTAATACCATACTTCGAAATGTATAATTAATGCGATGTGTATGTGCACAAAATTAGTTGACAACAACGGATGACATTTTTTCTTACTGTCAATGAATAAGGATATTGTTAATTGATACACATGATCGCGTTTTAATAGATTGTGAATTTTGTGTTTAACCTTCTTATTTCCATTATAGGATTCTAGATATCCAATTACGGTTTAACAATATGCCTTTTAATTTCAATTAGATGTAATATTTTCTCAGACCCTTGCAAGACACAACTATCGAACCATAAGGATTGTTCGAGTATTATATACAGTGTTTGTTGGTATGCAGGTGAACCCCTTCGCCATTGGAAGAGAAACAGACCGGTTACGGAGGCTGATATTTGGGAAATCTCTGAACAGTTGACAGACGTGTTGAGTCACCTTGACAACCACAATATAATTCATCGGGACATAAAACGTACGTTACTACTGAGATTTGTTCTTTGGTAGGTATCGAAGGAAACTGTAACATATTTAATAATCAAACTGCTTTATCGCTATAATTATTAACAGCAATATACTTTATTAACTCATTCACCCCTGAAATTTCATGATGAACTTTTCAAACTTTTGAATTGGAAGATTTCAAATGTGTCTTCAGGGGTGAATGAGTGAATTTGTGTTGACGAAGACATGAGAATGATCTGTTATCCGAGACAAAGTGAGGACTAATATAATTGTATATGTCCATATGATCACAAATTCACAAAAATGATCGATCTTAATTTTATATTAAATATGAAATATTGCTATTTTTATCAGTAATCTGTAGTTAGAAGTACAAAATAAACGAACGTTTTGAAGCATGGAAATACAAAAGTTAAGACGGCTATGCCAAAAGGTGATAAAGGAAATATTCATTGCACCACAGGTTCATTTCCCTGTTCTGGACTCATCTGTGGTAGTCCATGTCATAAGAGTATAGCGAAGAGGGAAGTGTCTAGAATTCCTCATTAAGAGTCTTAGACGGGCCCTCTATGGTCCACTTGTGTCCGATATATTAGGTATTTATTGTAATATTTCTTTACAGCTGACAACGTGTGTATACAGACAGCGAGTAGGGGACTAATAATCAAGTTGATAGACTTCGGGTCAGTTCAGACAGCCCAGGATAAGGTCGCCCAAGACGGAAGATTGACTGCTGCCTACATGGCCCCAGAAATGTGGTTATTGTGCATGTTTTCGGATACACCAGTGTCCAGTAAATCAGATGTGTTTGCGTGCGCTCTCACAATCTGTTACCTGGTGTATGACGTTGACGTTGTCCCTCAAGCATTGAGCACAAATGATGAAAATAAGATGTTACGTGAGGTATGTATGATTGAATCTTGTTTACTGTTATTGACTCCTATTTTCTACTACATGTTTTTGGTTACTCTGTTATTAAAGATTCTTGCTTGAACCAAAATCACGATTATATCATCCTTACAAAGAATCGTCTGATGGAAAACAATATTGTAAAAAAGATTTAGCAAAACTAATTCCTATGTATCGTGTAGTGTTGTGTTGTGCCATTATTACAAGTTTAATGTCAAGTTTTATGGTATGTTGAAAAATTTGGCATTTTGAACATAAAACCTATCGAAGTTGTATTAAATAAAACACGAACAATCTGTGACTTCTCCAGGCGCTCAACTGACATAAGTAATGTCTATATAAAACTGTAAACCCTGTTTCTAGGCAAAACGTTGTTCCCACGCATTACAGAGAATCGGTGTGCAAAGGCTGTCAAATGCTCAAGACCTCATGGAGTCATTTAATGAAAAATATAAATAGTGAATACCTAGTTTGGAGCCTGCACCACTTAACAATACCGTTAGTTTCTTGCTATACTTGTGAAACAAATGTCACAAACCTGTACTGATACATTGCCGTCATCTCTGAAGTGTATTGAAATGTATTAAATGACAGTTTCTTCCATTAAAGATGATTTTCAACCCATCCCAAGTGGCTGATTACGTAATGAATACATTTCCTCGGGACAAGTACAGTCAAACTTTGATGAACCTTCTACTGAAAATGCTGGCAGGCTATCCTGAGAGAAGAATCTCAGCGGCGGACGCGCATAAAGAGATAGTAACACACTGTGAGCTTGCTGTATTGGATAAAATGTTAAAGTTATATCTCATAGCTTATGTTTTATACACTTGCATTACTACTGAGTGCTATCAAGCGTGAGCTTAAGACCTCTCACTCTCCCTAGAATTCCGGTTCGATCCCCAGCGGTGGCGGAAAAAAAAGTGATGTCTGATAGTTGTTTTCCCTCCGATGTCACGGTGGTCCCCCCCCCCCCTCGCCCCCCTTGGGCTTTTCTCTACCACAAAAACGCTGTAGCGTCGTCGTAATATTAGCTTATTTATTTTTGTTGTTGACAGTATACACGACGTTAAATAAAGATTATTCATTTATATTTATTTATTTATCGATATAATAAGAACTGTATTACATTTTTGGGCTAGTAATATCGCTTTATATAATCTTTTAATTTAACCAATGCATTTATTTTAAGTGTTTGTATAATTACAGGCATGCGACCCGTTTTTGAAACATTGAATACTGAAGAATTCAAAGAAGAACTAGGAATTGATATTGTCAACAATACGGTTCCACTGAACATTTTCACCCCATTGACAACTCCTTCCTACACAGAAACTGTGCCGGCCATAGTGACGTTACAGGGAGAAACCGACTGGCTGTCGACGCGTACAGCAGTCGACGGCAACTGTCAAACTTTGTCAGACATTCTAATCAATCCGGCGACAAGCGATGTTGTCCAACAGTATCAACCAGAGCTTACGGGACAATGGGCAGCTGCTCCATCATATGCGACAGGTTTAACACTGCTCATTCCAACTGACCAACAAACAAATGGTACGTTAACTCAGGGAACGGCTGAGACGACCACGTGGACCATTGCAATGAATGACGGCGGCAATCAGCAAAGTTTCATCAATGGAGCAGTCCGTACGAAACCAAACCAACAGTCACCCAGCACCCTCACTGATGATTCCTCGTATTGCTATCTGCATGGGCTAGGAGAGCAAGTTTCAGAGTTGGTACCTGTAAACCACGACACCGGCATCACCGCTGTACCCGAGAGTCGGCCACAGATCCTGAACCAGGAGCAACTACTCCTGATCCAACATTCGCGCGATAGAAACACGCAAAATACAAGCGTGAGTAATAGAGCAGGTGTACCAAATCTCAAATTGGGAAACTGTCAATTAGATGAGGATTGCCATGATAATATAAATCCGGCCTATCCCACCAAGGTACCAGAACCACCAGCACAACAAGAGACAATAAATAAACTGAAAGATCGACTGAAGACAGGGGCTCGTAAAAGGTCATGCCCTGTTCTTCCTAATGAGTACACAAACATTCCCAACCTGGACCTGATACACTGCAAGAAGAAACGAAGGAAGAACGACTGAGGACTGAACGACCTGCATTCTCGGATATAACAATTGTCACCGATAACCCCCCCCCCCCCCCCCCCCTAAGTACTTTTACGTATGTAATAAACGTCTCGCAACAAAAATGAAATCCATGCAACACAATTTGGAGATCTAATTTACCACAAAGCATTTGGTAATCTGTGCATTTTTTTTATCTATAGAACGATAAGTCAAGCAGTCGATTCGATAAAAAGTTAAGGAATTAAAATATTTTCGGGAATTTCGACTGTTTATTTTGCTTTTAACTCGCAGAACCCTTTTATTGTCAGCAAATTTAATATAGTCTTCTTCTCGTCTCAATAGGTGACATCATCACCAATGTTGGTGACGGAGATATGATGAACTGTATCTTTTTGTTCCAAGGAGTATTTTTCGAGTGCAAGGTAGTGAAAATTGCACATCCGTGTTTATTTATGTATTCCGTCTTTTCGTATTGCAGAGTTATCTGCTCTTGTGAGCAGCTATTGATTGTTACGTCATCTGTTTGTGAGAGTAACGTCATGCATTTTTGAGAAAACGACGTAATTTTCTCACACAAACTAATGACAATCAATACCTGCTCACAAGAGCAGATAACTCTGAAATACGAAAAGATGGAATAGGTAGATTCAAGTACACAAACATAATGATATATAATACCCTGTAGCTATATAGGACATTTTAATCAAAGTGTGTAAAAACCGGTTCCCCATTTTTCTGATTTTCCTTATCTCTTCGGCAATGATATTTTGTTTGCCTTGTCATAGCAGAAATAGTGACGTTGGAAACTTGTTGTTTCACTCTGAATTTATCGCAAGAGGCTACTAATGTATTAACAAAGACACATGCCTTTCTTATGATGTTCCATTGTGTCGTCATAGGTACTTTTCCTCTTAAATGATAATTATGATATTTATTTATATACAGTGTATATTTTTCTTAATAATAATTTATCTTGTTATTATATGCATGTAATGCAATTTTTTGTTTTTTAAATCCTATTTTCTTGAGTTGAAAACGAACCACTGCATCAGTATTTTTTAACTTTGAGTATTCTCCCTTATATATAGGAGATGAAGCAACTGAAAACATAATTTCTACCCAGAGTTGCCGTTCCTTACTACATAAACTGAGTATAAGGAACGGCAATTCTGGGTAGAGATTGCCAAAATAGTGTTCCTGGCTTAGAGTTACTTCCCTTATCAAGGTATTCATAAAGTTTTAGCTTCAGTTATCAACAGATTTTGATAAAACGTAATACCTGGAATGAGTTCGTATTTCAGGGTTCAAAGGTCACTATTACTATTGACAAAAAGTCCACCAAGGTTAGAGAAGGACAAGTATGAGATAATCAAAGATGTGCTCGTTTTTCATGGGCCCAACGTCAATAATATAGTCACTTCAAACTCATGGATAATGTTCAACCAATATATTCACTCTAGCGCCTCCAATTTTAGTAGATATTGATAAAAATATTATCATGGTCAGTAGGGAAATACATTTTATAAGCTCGTGTTCAAAGATACCGAAGTTAAGGCCGCCAGTTGTCACTGTTAACCTGGTTATATACTTTCTTATCTGTATTTGATAACGAATCGCATCCTCGATATCCAGGGGATACTCTCACTTTCGTTCTCTGCAGAGATGAGTTCGTATTACATGGTGTAAAGGTCAAAGTCGGCGTGACCATATATAACATAGACAATTGTGGAGTAATAAGCTAATTGTACAATGGATATATAGAAAAGCATAGGAATACTCAATGTAATAGTTAAGTTTGATCTCACCTCTAATAAGTTCGTATTACATGGTGTAAAGGTAAAAGTCGGCGTGACCATATATACAATAGACACTTGTCAAGTAATAAGCTAATTGTACAATGGATATATAGAAACGTATTGGAATACACAACGTATTACTCAAGTTTGATCTCACCTCTAATAAGTTCGTATAACATGGTGTAAAAGTCAAAGTCGGCGTGACCATATATGAAATAGACAATTGTCGAGTAATAAGCTAATTGTACAATGGATATATAGAAACGTATTGGAATACTCAACGTAATAGTTCAGTTTGATCTCACCTCTAATAAGTTCGTATTACATGGTGTAAAGGTTAAAGTCGGCGTGACCATATATAAAATAGACCATTGTTGAGTAATAAGCTAATTGTACAATGGATATATAGAAACGTATTGGAATACACAACGTATTACTCGAGTTTGATCTCACCTCTAATAAGTTCGTATTACATGGTGTAAAGGTCAAAGTCGGCGTGACCATATATGAAATAGACCATTGTCGAGTAATAAACTAAATGTATATCCGACATATCTTTACCTTGTATTCAATTGGTAAATGATAGTTAAAATCACGACTATATGCATAGCCTGCAAGGGGGGTAATTCTTGTTGTACAGCGGAAGACTAGGATAATCGTAAAATGGCAGCATGATAATTCATTATTATTTTTTGAATAAGGCATTTTTATTCAAAATATGTCAAGATCAAGTATCATTTATTTTTATTTATTTATATTCTTAATCATTCACAATTGATAAAAAAAAGCCGTAGGTTCAAACTTCTTTTCAAATTAGTTTTCATGGTATGGATCATTCACTCGTATTTGAATTTCATTTGCATTTAATGACACTTTTATTTCTTTTAAACAAGTATTAATAATAAATTAAGTTGAATATGGATAGTATGTCACGTGGGTCTTGTTCGTTAAATGTTTTCGGAAGTCGTGATTTTGAATATGGTTATGCAGAATTTTTGACATATATTGCTCTGATTTGGCACCGTTTTGGGACCAGTATGTTGTTAAGGAGAGGATTGGTTGCCAAATGATACTTTCTAAGACTTACAAGAGCTATTATGTATCAAAGAAAACAGAGTTTAATATTTGATTTGTGTTTTATGATATGTCTTTTTGTAAAAATTATTTTCTAAAAATTCTAAAGCATCTCTATTCTATATAAAATTTACACAAAAGAATTCGCTCTTTAATATTAATAATAATAATAATTCAAGGTTCTGATATACCGCTTATCGTAATCTAGTTCGTACAATGAAGGTCGTCTCAGAACTACATGTTGCAAACTAAGCTGGATCGGAAGTTTTATTATTTTAGAAGTTTAGTAATATTTGTATATAGTTGTTAACAGTCATTCGTGACTTCTAAATACAGTTTTTGCTATTTTTTTTTTATTGTATGCGATTCTTTTGCATTTTTTCAGATGACTTTTTGTTCATGTTAAAATGTGTCAACATTCAAGCCTTATATTCACGTTTGGTCTTGCCTATGTTTGGTTTATGTAAGGAACAACATTATAAACCTATTCATATAATAGTTTTCAAGTATTGATTTAAACTGTGATGAAAAAATAGAGGATTTTATTACAACAGATTTTATTGACTTTATATATGTCAATTGGATTGGACATCAGGCTAGGCCTATTTAAGTCCTTTCAAACTTATTTACAAACATTACATACATTCTGTCATAACAATCCGATTAAACAATGCAGGGGAGATAACTCCAATTTAGCTTGTGAAATGAACATTTTACAACTTTTATTTAATCATTTTTTGTTCATGTTTTAGATATTAACAATTAAATAAATCATGTATATTAATTGACAACCCATCCTACATAAAATCCAAGGGATACCGGCCCAAAGGTCCCTAGAGGATGTTAAATGGTTTGCAGACGAACACCATATATAGCTCACGGGTATGACAGAATACCGATATTTTCCACTAGTGCGAAGTTCGAATACAAATATCAGTACATTCTGCCATAGATGTAAGGTATTGAACTGGCAAATAATAACATTTTCTATTTATTACATTTTAATTTAAAACGACGAAAAAAAGTGCGCTAATAAGAACATGCTATTTGACGCTAGATTATAATGACGTCACGCTTGACAACACGGCTAAGCGCCATTTTAAACGGGCTTCTCAAAACAATTCCACCGTTATCTGCTTTTGTCTGGTACGCTTTGCTTACAAAAACTATATCATTTTGCGAATTTGAATGCAATCAATAAACAATTCCATTTTGATGAGTTGGTTTGGTTTGTTTGTTTGGGGTGTCAAAGCCTCGCAACAGCAAGGGTCATATGAGGACAAGTGCCTTGGGAGACACCGTCTCAAACAGAAAATAAACAGAAAAGAAAGAAAGACCGTGGGTTGGGGATAGGAAACGATAAAGATCCCAAGTGATGCAATTTAAGGTATCTTCCATGCCCCCATAGAAGAAGACACGACAGGAAACCTCGATTCTGCAGGGGCCCCCAGATATGTCGTCTTTTATGATACACAGGCAGAGGTGTACATCAGGTATATTCTTGGTTTCTTCAATGTACCCTAAATAGAAGACAAGAACGAAACCACCCCAGATCAGCGGTGATTAAGTCGCCTTTTACGATCATGCAGCGGTGCACAGCAGACCTATTCTGTACCCGATCCTGCACGGGTTTGATGAGTTGGTCCAAATTGATACTAGACATTATATCATTACACGTGATGATATAACAACATATAGCTACAGTCAAGAAACAAAGTTTCATCACGACGACAATTTCTCTAATATTTCACTGGTAAAATGTAATAAATTCCGACATTAATACGATGGTGTCACCTTGTTAAATAAATACTTATTTCGATTATGCAACTGTGATTCAATTTCATTCTTGGGTATCAGGTTGACACGTGCTATCAACGGAAACATTGACCTGTTTCACCTACCTTTTATAGTTAAACTATGGTTAAAATGTAAGTATATGTAATTGAATTTCACAGATTTTTATGTATAATGGAGTAAAATGATTTAAGATGTTAATGTCTTTTATTCATTTCAAGTATAAGTGTTGGAAGCATATCCTGACTGCTACCTATCTCTCCAGGCGTAAGGTTGAAGCCATGCTAACACCTTTATCATGCATAAGCGAATTCACGAGTTGTCACGAGATCAGAATCCATTAAAGTAATATTTAATATTTAAAGGGTCAGAGGTAATGTTCACATAATACACGTGTTTTCATCTTAATTGATAAAGATCTGTAACGTCAATTGGTTCGCTAAACGACTTCATTATTCACTTGTGGACCAGTGTTACCCAAATGATCGGATAGAAAAATAAGCGAACCTAAATTAGACAAGAAATATCGTCATTTAAAATGGGCCCATCGATGCATGCATGGCATTATGTAAATCTCAAACCTTTACGGAACATTATGAAAAAAATAATCCTTTTTTGTTATATATATTTTTACATTAAACACACCCTTAGTGTGGTACTAACGGAAAGCAAAAACATAAGACAAGCCAGCTTTATCCTGTTGATAAGAAAAAAGAGCAAGTTAGTGACACGGTACCTTTTAATTTACATATTTTTGCTCATTGTAGTATGAGACATGGGTAATAAAGATATTTCAAGTTTCGAAGTATCGTTTTGACGTATATGTTAATACTGTGATTGCAATCCAATTGATGTAGCAGAGATGACTTTGGATGGTTATCCATTTATCCTTATCTAAGAAGAAAATAGACACAAATTCCTTTGATGTTCTTCCTAAATCACTTATAAGTATTATGTCTTACAAAGAAAGTCTTTTCAACATGAAAAATTATTGATGCCGATGTGAGGCTCTTACTTCAAGTAATCTATTTGGGGCTCACCTGGCCATGATATTTGGTCAGTAGGTACCTGTGGCTCACCTGGCCATGATATTTGGTAAGTAGGTACCTGTGGCTCCCCTGGCCATGAAATTTGGTCAGTAGGTACCTGTGGCTCACCTGGCAATGATATTTGGTCAGTAGGTACCTGTGCCTCACCTGGCCATGCTATTTGGTCAGTATGTACGTGTTGCTCACCTGGCCATGATATTTGGTCAGTAGGTACGTGTTGCTCACCTGGCCATGATATTTGGTCAGTAGGTACGTATGGCTCACCTGGCCATGATATTTGGTCAGTAGGGACCTGTGGCTCACCTGGCCATGATATTTGGTCAGTACATACCTGTGGCTCACCTGGCCATGATATTTGGTCAGTAGGTACCTGTGGCTCACCTGGCCATGATATTTGGTCACTAGGTACCTGTGGCTCACCTGGCCATGACATTTGGTCAGTACATACCTGTGGCTCACCTGGCCATGATATTTGGTCAGTAGGTACCTGTGCCTCACCTGGCCATGATATTTGGTCAGTATGTACGTGTTGCTCACCTGGCCATGATATTTGGTCAGTAGGTACTTTAGCTCACCTGGCCATGATATTTGGTCAGTAGGTACTTTTAGCTCACCTGGCCATGATATTTGGTCAGTAGGTACTTTTAGCTCACCTGGCCATGAAATTTGGTCAGTATGTACCTGTGGTTCACCTGGCCATGATATTTGGTCAGTAGGTACTTTTAGCTCACCTGGCCATGATATTTGGTCAGTAGGTACTTTTAGCTCACCTGGCCATGGTATTTGGTCAGTACATACCTGTGGCTCACCTGGCCATGATATTTGGTCAGTAGGTACCTTTAGCTCACCTGGCCATGATATTTGGTCAGTATGTACCTGTGGCTCACCTGGCCATGATATTTGGTCAGTGGGTACGTATGGCTCTCCTGGCCATGATAATTGGTCAGTAGGTACGTGTGGCTCACCTGGCCATGATATTTGGTCAGTAGGTACGTGTGGTTCACCTGGCCATGATATTTGGTCAGTGGGTACGTATGGCTCACCTGGCCATGATAATTGGTCAGTAGGTACGTGTGGATCACCTGGCCATGATATTTGGTCAGTACGTACCTGTGGCTCACCTGGCCATTATATTTGGTCAGTGGGTACGTATGGCTCCCCTGGCCATGATAATTGGTCAGTAGGGACGTGTGGATCTCCTGGCCATGATATTTGGTCAGTAGGTACGTGGGGTTCACCTGGCCATGATGATATTTGGTCAGTAGGTACGTGTGGCTCTCCTGGACATGCTATTTGGTCAGTGGGTACCTGTGGCTCACCTGGCCATGATATTTGTTCAGTAGGTACGTGTTGCTCACCTGGCCATGATATTTGGTCAGGAGGTACCTGTGGCTCACCTGGCCATGATATTTGTTCAGTAGGTACGTGTTGCTCACCTGGCCATGATATTTGGTCAGTGGGTACGTATGGCTCCCCTGGCCATGATAATTGGTCAGTAGGGACGTGTGGATCTCCTGGCCATGATATTTGGTCAGTAGGTCCATGTGGTTCACCTGGCCATGATATTTGGTCAGTAGTTACGTATGTCTCTCCTGGCCATGATATTTGGTCAGTAGGTTCGTATGGCTCACCTGGCCATGATATTTTGTCAGTAGGTACGTATGGCTCACCTGGCCATGATAATTGGTCAGTATGTACCTGTGGCTCACCTGGACATGATATTTGGTCAGTAGGTACGTATGGCTCTCCTGGCCATGATAATTGGTCAGTAGGTGCGTGTGGATCACCTGGCCATGATATTTGGTCAGTAGGTACGTGGGGTTCACCTGGCCATGATGATATTTGGTCAGTAGGTACGTGTGGCTCACCTGGACATGCTATTTGGTCAGTGGGTACCTGTGGCTCACCTGGCCATGATATTTGGTCAGTAGGTACCTGGGACAGAGAGCTATATAGTTTCCTAAACAAATGACATTGACATACTTTAAAGATCACAAGGGTCAAATGTCTTTAAGACCTTTAAAAATCTTCTTCTGAATAACCAGGAGGCCCAGAGTAATGATACTTGGCCAGTAGGTACCTAAGACAGAGTACTTTAAAGTTTCACCAAATAAATTACCTTGACCTACCTTCAGTCACCGGGGTCAGATATGTAATAATCTTTAAACAACATGGATGATACCATTTGACTAGTAGCATGCTTGGATAGAGTAGTATAAAGTTTCATTTAGTCTGGAACATTCTTAAGCCATGAAGACTCATGATGACATGCCCGAGAACACTGCGTCATCGTGCTCTCTATTCGCGGCTGATACTAAAATATACCGCAAGATACGAACTGATGAGGATAAGGAAATTCTACAAGCAGACTTGAATAATCTTCAAAAATGGTCTGATGATTGGCTTCTGAAATTTCATCCGAATAAATGCAAGGTTCTTCAGGTTAAAGGATCACCAAACAATAATAGAACATACCGTCTCGCGAGCAAAACTGGAGAAGTCGTACTTGACAAAATCAACAGTGAAAAAGATTTAGGAGTAACGGTGGATGCAAACCTGGACTTTCGGACCCACATTCAAAACTCAATAAATAAAGCTAATTCAGTACTCGGGATTATTAGAAGATCATTTACTTTTTTGGCCGAATCGATTTTTAGACAGTTATTTAAGGCTCTGGTAAGACCACATCTAGAATACGCAGCCAGTGCGTGGAGTCCGTATAAACTTAAAGATATCCAGATGATAGAGAATGTACAACGGAGAGCCACTAAGCTTCTACCTGGATTTAAAGAAATCTCCTACGAAGAACGTTTAGAAAAATTAAAACTACCGACACTAAAACACCGAAGGACTAGAGGTGATTTGATTAACGTTTTCAAGATTGTGAAGAGGAAGTTTGATTAGAAAGTCAGGTCAGACATATTTGTCTACGATAATAACGAAAGACGAGGACATAAATTTAAGCTGTATAAACAACGATGTAGTACAGAGCTAAGGAAAAACTCGTTCATGTTTAGGGTAGTTGATATCTGGAACGGTCTACCGGAATCGGTTGTAAATGCAGAAACCACGAAGGTCTTTGAGATCCTGTTGGATAACCATCTGAAGGACACTATTTACAATAATTACTGATAATGACTTTTAAAATAACTCTTTTGGGAAAGTTTATATATGTTAACAAGTGACAATATAATACTTTTATACTATGTTTTGTGATATGGACTTAGAGGCTTTCAGCCTGCGTCCATTATTTTTCAATTAAATTCAATTAAAAGTCTCAATATAATTATGGAAATATTTGCAAAAATACTGCTATTGAGAATATTTTCCCATGATTGCTCAACCATTCAGGTAAGCGTTACAGGCCATCTGGGCCTCTTGTTATTCACGTTCTAGAATTTGAAGGACCAGAAACTGTGTATACTTTCTGTATACACGTTAAAGGCATTTTTCACGATCTTCTATCAATGTTTATCGTCTATGCAAGAATGACATGATAACAACATACGGGTGTTTGTAAAGAAAAATATTTTATTTTAATCCAATGACAGTATGACTTACAGATGAGTGGAAAGATGTAAATGGAAAAACACACAAAAATACACAAACTAAAGCAACATTCAATAAAATGGTACCATATACCTTCATACACATACACACCCAATGTCCGATACTCACTCCTTTCAAAATGATTAGATAAATGTTTTTACAGCTCAATACAGGTACCGAGGGAAATACAACACCTTTCTGTTTGTGTGAATACTTTTAACATTTCAAGTTTAACTAAAACATCAACGCTGCTAGGACCCATTTCTGTATCAGGGCGGGTTAGCTGAGCGTGATATTTGTTTTATTAATTCGTTCATGTACAACAAGACGATGACACATTTCCTTTGACAGCAATATTCCAATTACAACCAGGTATCAGAAACCTTAATCGATGATATTCAGTGTTCAGTATAACTAACGGAAACAGACGGTCATTCGATGATACCAAGAGTGACTTTTGTGATACAGTAGACTGGCATTCGTTGATGTCAAGAGTGACTTTTGTGATACAGTAGACGGTCACTCGATGATGTCATGAGTGACTTTTGTGATACAGTAGACGGTCATTAGATGATGTCATGAGTGACTTTTGTAATACAGTAGACGGTCATTCGATGATGTCAAGAGTGACTTTTGTGATACAGTAGACGGTCACTCGATGATGTCAAGAGTGACTTTTGTGATACAGAAGACGGTCATTCGATGATGTCAAGAGTGACTTTTGTGATACAGTAGACGATCACTCGATGATGTCAAGTGTGACTTTTGTGATACAGTAGACGGTCATTCGATGATGTCAAGAGTTACTTTTGAGATACAGTAAACGGTCATTCGATGATGTCAAGTGTGACTTTTGGGATACAGTAGACGGCCGTTCGATGATGGCAAGAGTGACTTTTTTGATACAGTAGACGGTCATTCGATGATGTCAAGAGTGACTTTTGTGATACAGTAGACGGTCACTCGATGATGTCAAGAGTGACTTTTGTGATACAGTAGACGGTCATTCGATGATGTCAAGAGTGACTTTTGTGATATAGAAGACGGTCATTCGATGATGTCAAGTGTGACTTTTGTGATACAGTAGACGGTCATTCAATGATGTCAAATATTATGGTAAGAATACAAGAAAACATACTAAATACTACCGAACAAAACTCTAATTCAAATTTCATACCGGCCAGTGTAACATTTGTTTGGAAAATTATATTTTGAATATGTTTGCCAGTCTATGACGAAGTTCAATTCTAGTTTGACATATGTTTAATTCAAGAGACCTCTTACAAATCACAGCATATTTCACATCTTTTGATTTGCAATTCATATGAAATGAACATTGTTTATGACGTCATTATTGTTTGATGTTATAAGTATGTGGATTTTATTTATAATGTCACAATTCAGATAAATTTAAATCGCATGAAAACCCCAAAAAAGTGTTTTGTATATATGTATAAAGACGTATCTAGACTTACAGGTTCGCGCAAAATCTGCACAATCATAAGTTATAAAAGATTAACGTGATAACGCAAAAATATATATCTTAAATATAAGAGATCTAGACGATAAAGTGAATGTATGTACAAATGAACCGTAAAGATATACAAAGAAACCTCTACACAACAAAAGTACTCATAGAACGTCTACACAATAAAGGTACCCATAGAACGTCTACACAATAAAGGTACCCATAGAACGTCTACACAATAAAGGTACCCATTGAACGTCTACACAATAAAGATACCCATAGAACGTCTACACAATAAAGGTACCTATAGAACGTCTACACAATAAAGGTACCCATAGAACGTCTACACAATAAAGGTACCCATATTATGCCTACATAATAAAGTCCACACATGGAAAGTATTTATATAACATCTCCACTTTAAAGTTACCAATATATTTACATACCATACACACACTAGCCATGTCTTTCAAATTCTACATACTGAAGGCTCCCACGTAGACATCTTCTCTACAAAGCCAACCATAGAAACGTCTTTATAATGTACGAACCGATGTAACACGCAAACAATAAACGTACGTATTTAACGCCTAAACAATGGACGTATATCTTTAATGTCTATAACAATGGATTATGAAAAAGTCTTAACGACAAATCTGGTCACAAATGGGGAAACATTATATAAGGGAATGTGTCGAATTTTTTTTTTTTCAAATTACACTACAATATAGCATCTAGCTAGCTACGTTTTTCATCATAGTACATGTATATACAGGCAGTACACTTAGATTAACAAGTGACAGCATGCATCATTGTATACCGACATCTGTTGTTTTAGTTATACATTAAACGAACGCTTTTTATTGCCAGGTTTGCCTTTGTACATATCATTAATATATCCATTACAAAAAGTATATACACATATAACTATCTTATTTATTTAGACAGCGGTCCATAATTTCAAAGTATACACTGATAAAATGAATGGAGATGCGATAGGCTTGTGTTGACACATGAACGAGACCCTTGTCTCCTTGTAATATCCAGGAAGGGTTTCCCATTTTTTTCACAAAAGGAGACCATACATATGTACCTGAACTATGTACGTCCTTTTCACAGTTAATATGACCGTTTACTGGTGTCAATACACCCCTCCTTAGGACATTCTTCAAACCGAAAACATGACCGAAATAATTGTCCGAGGCATTCGGGTTTCCAAATCTCGTCTGTTTTTTTCCCCTACATACTCTTTGTTACGTCCGTAATTTTTTCCCCTACTGTCCATGTCCGATGGTTGCGAAACAGTTTATATTATATCCCACTGAGTCTTCTCTTAAAATGTCTCCTAGTAACTTGAATGAATCATATAAATTATATAGTATTAACTGTTTTAAGAATAACATTTCATGTTAAATGACAAAGTTAAATGTTGACCTTTCGTGTTCATAATATATTTTGTACGTCCATATACCAATGAATTTTCCCCCAAAAAAACAATACAAAAACGGAGCAAAGTTTTCATGGCGTAAGAACAGAATTTTAACAAACGTTCACCTTGACCCCTCTCACAAACTAGTAAAATATAACCTTACATTCCAGTTACGGATCCCTGTCCCACTGAACTCTGGTCTTTCCTTTAAAAAGTAACCTCCCCTTAACTTCCGTTTGGATGTTTTAGTCAAGACACTTCCGGTAACCGGGTTACTCAATCGGCTCGAGAGATCGTTTGAAGTTCTAAGTTCGAATATCGGTCTAGCACTGTTGAAGGTTTAATTATGTGTTTGGTTGTTTTGGTTTTTTTTAATTTTTTAATTTAATATCTTAATTATTTCTCATAAAAGCCCGACAAGGCATGGTTTTCTTTTCAGAAATGGGTTCTTACAGTTTTTGGCAGTGGTACAGGGATCAATAAAATATATTTCATGACATCATATGTACCTGACTGTATACAACTCTCATGTCTCTCCTGTAAAATTGAACATTCTCTGTTGTAAAAATCACAAACATTCAGATTCACTCTAAAATATTGTGCCTTTCATCAGTCTAAAAACGCCAGTTCACCCGGATCTGCACACTTCGACCTGACGCTGGAGCTCGCGTGCCGGTTCCTGGCCGACCCCATCTGAGAGCGCCTGGCATTGTAGCCACTCTTGCGTTTCCATGCTTGTACTTCCTCTCGCTTCTTCCTCTTAAAGAACCCGCACTGAAAGGAAAAATCCGATATATCAGTAGGTATCTCACCTTGACTACTGAAACCTTTATTTTTATTACACATGCATATATAATTGGCAAAAAAATTACGTAACTACAAAATAAGACAAATATCGAACCTATTGACCAATTGCAAAATAGATATGTTTCACTTAGTTTTTAACAAGATACTGTTTACTATTCCAATTTTTCCTGTGTATATAAGGGACAATAGATTAAAAGTATTGAATTTTGCGCTTTTTCGAGTACGGGTTTTATAACTGTTGACGCAGTCGTGTATAATTCGAAGACCCACTTATTTCTTATTCCGATTATAACGAAATGAAAAAAATATTTTGTCAATAATTTGATCGATTGGCATTATGTAAGTGAGTTACAAGAAAACTGGATTGCGCACAGAAACCATACTTGAGCCTGCGAACGCTTTTATTAATACGGGCCATGGTTTCTAGGTAAACGTAGATTAAAAAGCGAGAATAGGATTATAGAATGTAAGATATTTTGGATAATATACTTTATCAGAGTGAAAGTATATATATGTTTTGTATTTGTAATATTTTTAGGTTAGCGTACCTTCCACAGCAACAGTCCTAGTGCCACAAACAAAAGAAGACCTCCAAGGCATCCTACTATGAGGATCCAGATTTCAATGTCCTCCGTCACCTTTCTCTCTGAAGCTGGGTAAATGTCGACACGGATCTGAAACATTTTGCAACCAATCAGGATAACATTAATATTTTACAAGCTTTTTATTAATACTTATCCTAACAAGAGATCCTAGAAAGATATTGGGGCCCATCATGGAAAGATCTTAATCAGATCTACAAAAGATTATCCTAAACCTGCTTTGCTCTTCATTTTCCTTACAGTTACTATTACCCCATTCCCATGTTGAAAGTATTAAACGTGAATCTTGTACATTACCTTTAACCTCGTTGTGCCATTCGTTAGTTGTCACTATGGAAAATGATATTATAAAAGAATTTCATAACTATACGCAAAACGCTCAAAATAATTATGTACTTCTTACATAATAAGAAGTGCTTTCAATAGGGGAGGAATTATCATTGGGGCCGGGGATATATTACACAAATGACACAAACAAGGGGACCTAACACATACATTTTGAGAAAGATTCCTTCAGTACACTCTGAGAAATAACGATAACAAATCTTGATTGTCAAAATCCAAGATGACTGCTTGTTTAGCCATTTTGATTTTCCGATCAATCTCAAATGTAAACATGCAAATAGAGACCAAGGGAATCTACAAATCAAATCAACGATGGCTGCCAGTCGGCCATTTTGTTTTTCCAATCGATCTCAAAATCAAACATGCACAACTACAGACGAAGGGGAACCACATATTAAAATTAAGAAAGATCCCTCCAGTGTTTTCGTAGAAATAACTATAACAAATCTGAACTCTCAAAATCCAACTTATCGGCCATATTTTTTTCACCGCTCAGTCTTTAAAGTAAACATGCACAACAACAGATCAGGGGGAAGTTACATTTGAAATTAGAGAAATAGCGATAACAAACAAATGGACGGACGATGGGCGAACAGCGGACGACATACGATTTGATTAGCCTACCATCTGATGAAGGTAGTCTAAAATGGAATCTTTTCATGTCATATTTAAATTGTACTTGCGTTTTGCATCAGTTCGTTTACATACACTTATTGCATTTAATTATTTTCTTAGAAAATTGTTCATTTGTTCACGGATGTTCTTTGTACTTTTTTGACGGAGAACCAACCTCTGCTTTTACTGGTTTTGTTGGCCAATACACTTCAAGTTGAGGATGTTGGGGCTTGTGGACCTCCGCTGTAGTGACGTAGTTCAGTCGTTCCGCTTTCTGGTATAACATAGTATGTCATTGTACTATTGTATTAAAACGTTTTGAACATAAACAAAAATAAAATAAAACCACAAACATTGTGTAGATGCATGTCAGTATATAGAAATTATATATATTAAAACGACAAGGAAATAATTGTATCACCAACGTTACAAAGTGATCTTGAACTAACCCATAAAATATATCTTGATGCATTATTCTATAGGCATTTTTGTTGTACCTGACAGATGTCATGTTTTCCTGTATGCTATTATTCACTAAGAAAAATAATTAAACATAATATTTTGCTTCAAGAACATAAGATATTTCACCAAGTATAATCATCTAAGTATTACGTTATCCATTAATGTTTACAAATGTGGAAATAGATCATGTTACACTTGTTCCCCAACTTTTTAATGTTTGCATTTATATGAATCTTATCAAGATTGATAAAAATTGTTCTAAATATATATTTCAGTTTGTCTTTCCTCCATAATCTACCTTCTCGAAGGAAACGATATCTTTTTAGATAAATTTCTTTGACAAAGTAGATGGATGACTCGATGGCATTTTTCCTCGGAAACGTACCTTAGTAAATGATAGGCATGTCTTTGTGATATTGTACCCCGATAACCGTCATTGTCAAATGAGTTGGATGCTTGTAATGTTTTGCCCATACATTTCACTTTGTCAAATGTCAAATGATGTCCCTAGATCTGTTATGTTGTAACCTTATAACATACAATGTCATATAATGTCCCTGTGATGTTGTACCCTTAAACCATTCAATGTCATATAATGTCCCTGCTATGTTGTACCCTAATACCATACAATGTCATATGATGTCCCTGCTTTGTTGTACCCTTATAACATACAGTGTCATATAATGTCCCTGCTATGTTGTACCCTAATACCATACAATGTCATATGATGTCCCTGCTATGTTGTACCCTTATACCATACAATGTCATATGATGTCCCTGCTGTAATGTACCCTTATACCATCAAGTCATATAATGTCCCTGCTATGTTGTACCCTTATAACATACAATGTCATATGATGTCACTGCTATGTTGTACCCTTATAACATACAATGTCATATAATGTCCCTGCAATGTTTTACCCTTATAACTTGCAATGTCATCTTATATTGTACCCTTAAAACATGGAATGTCATATAATGTCCCTGCTATTTTGTACCCTTATACCATACAATGTCATATAATGTCACTGTTATGTTGTACCCTTATAACATACAATGTCATATAATGTCCTTGCTATGTTGTACCCTTATAACTTGCAATGTCATCTTATATTGTACCCTTAAAACATGGAATGTCATATAATGTCCCTGCTATTTTGTACCCTTATACCATACAATGTCATATAATGTCACTGCTATGTTGTACCCTAATAACATACAGTGTCATATAATGTCCCTGCTATGTTGTACCCTCATAACATACAATGTCATATAATGTCACTGCTATGTTGTACCCTTATAGCATACAATGTCATATAATGTCACTGCTATGTTGTATCCTTATAACATACAATGTCATATAATGTCACTGCTATGTTGTCCCCTTATAACATGCAATGTCATATAATGTCCCTGCTATGTTGTACCCTCATAACATACAATGTCATATAATGTCCTTGCTATGTTGTACCCTCATAACATACAATGTCATATAATGTCCTTGCTATGTTGTACCCTCATAACATACAATGTCATATAATGTCACTGCTATGTTGTACCCTTATAACATACAGTGTCATATAATGTCACTGCTATGTTGTACCCTTAAACCATTCAATGTCATATAATGTCCCTGCTATGTTGTACCCTTATAACATACAGTGTCATATAATGTCACTGCTATGTTGTACCCTAAACCATTCAATGTCATATAATGTTCCTGCTATGTTGTACCCTTATAAAATACAATGTCATAAAATGTCCCTGCTATGGTGTACCCTTATAACATACAGTGTCATATAATGTCACTGCTATGTTGTACCCTTATAACATACAGTGTCATATAATGTCCCTGCTATGTTGTACCCTTATACCATACAATGTTTGTTTGTTTGTTTGTTTGACTTTGTTTAACGTCCTATTAACAGCTAAGGTCATTTAAGGACGGCCTCCCCTGTGTGCAAGATGCATGCGTGTAGTGTATGTGTGTGTATTTTGGGAGGCTGTGATATGTTCGTGTTTGTCTCCTTGTGATAGCGCGGAACTGATGCCGACTTTATAGTGCTACCTCACTGAGACATACTGCCGAAGACACCCAGCAGGACGCCCCACCCGGTCACATTATACTGACAACGGGCGAACCAGTCGTCCCACTCCTAATTTGCTGAGCGTTAAGCAGGAGTAGAAACTACCATTTTTAAAGACTTTGGTATGTCTCGGCCAGGGGACAGAACCCAAAGCCTTCCTCACAGGGGCGAACGCTCAACAAATGGCCAAAAGTGAGGCATTGTCAAGGGAGACATTAGGAAGAAGAAAGTTATTTAGAAAGGAGAGAAGAGATAAGGTCCCAAATTTAGTCGCCTCTTACGATCATGCAATTGGGGGCAGAAGGTACAATTCTTACGCCCTACCATACAATGTCATAAAATGTCCCTGCTATGGTGTACCCTTATAACATACAATGTCATATAATGTCACTGCTATGTTTTACCCTTATAACATACAATGTCATATAATGTCCCTGCTATGTTGTACCCTTATACCATACAATGTCATATGATGTCCCTGCTATGTTGTACCCTTATACCATACAATGTCATATAATACCATACAATGTCATATGATGTCCCTGCTTTGTTGTACCCTTATAACATACAGTGTCATATAATGTCTCTGCTATGTTGTACCCTTATAATATAAAATGTCATATAATGTCACTGCTATGTTGTACCCTTACCCCATACAATGTCATATGATGTCCCTGCTATGTTGTACCCTTATACCATACAATGTTTGTTTGTTTGTTTGTTTGACTTTGTTTAACGTCCTATTAACCCTGCTTTGTTGTACCCTTATAACATACAGTGTCATATAATGTCACTGCTATGTTGTACCATTATAACATACAATGTCATATAATGTCAATGCTATGTTGTACCCTTATACCATACAATGTCATATGATGTCCCTGCTATAATGTACCCTTATACCATACAATGTCATATAATGTAACTGCTATGTTGTACCCTTATAACATGGAATATCATATGATGTCGCTGCTATGTTTACCTGAATGACTTACCTTGTCGAAGGTGAGAGATGCCTCTGTGATGTTGATAGCCACGGCAACAGTCTCTGTAATGTCCCTGCTATTTTGTACCCTTATACCATACAATGTCATATGATGTCCCTGCTATGTTGTACCCTTATACCATACAATGTCATATGATGTCCCTGCTATGTTGTACCCTTATACCATACAATGTCATATGATGTCCCTGCTATGTTGTACCCTTATACCATACAATGTCATATAATGTCACTGCTATGTTGTACCCTTATAACATGGAATATCATATGATGTCGCTGCTATGTTTACCTGAATGACTTACCTTGTCGAAGGTGAGAGATGCCTCTGTGATGTTGATAGCCACGGCAACAGTCTCTGTTGAAGCTACACCCAGGCCTGTTAGCAGACACTCCATATGAACACAATCGTAGTTAGCACATGTCTGATAAAGCAAAAACAATGCCAACTGTACACGTTGTTTCTCTAAGAAAACTACATTCAATAGTTACGCAAGGTTAACTTTAATTTGGAAGTTACACGCATTTTTAAGTTTTACAAGGTTCGGTATCTTATCGCCCCGAATTCATCTCAATGTGTAGTTGACGTAATTATAATATCAGTTTGATCATTGGGAAAATGTCTACCACCAGTCGGCAACTGACATCATCTCATGTAAAGAAACAATGATAAAAAAACTTGCTGTGAATATCTTGTATAACGCTTTAATCTTTGAATATACATACAGTACAATATGCGTTTTTTCTACTTTCTCCAAATATGTTCTTTAATAAAAACAATACGTAATCAAGAAAATCTTCTTTGAATTACTGCTGCATTCGTATTTGTGGATGTATTCCGTCTTTTCGTATTGTGGAGTTATCTGCTCTTGTGAGCAGGTATTGATTGTTACGTCGTTATTTTTCGGTGAGAAAATTACGTCGTTTTCTCAAAAATGCATGACGTTACTCTCACAAACGAATGACGTAACAATCAATACCTGCTAACAAGAGCAGATAAATCCACAATTAAAGCGTTATACAAGATATTCAAAGCAAGTTTTTTTTTTTAAATCTTTTTTACGTTATCTAGAAAATAATCTTTGAAATACTGCTGCATTCGTATTTATGGATTTATTCCATCTTTTCGTATTGTAGAGTTATCTGCTCTTGTGAGCAGGTATTGATTGTTACGTCATTTGTTTGTGAGAGTAACGTCATACATGTGTGAGAAAACGACGTAATTTTCTCACACATACTAATGACGTAACAACCAATACCTGCTCACAAGAGCAGATAACTGCAATACGAAAAGTCGGAATAAATAATTTATGAAGCACTGCTTATTTTTGACCGTTGCATGTTCTGTCTTTGGTTAATAAGGTTGAAATCCCTTCATTTCTGCTAATATAATAGTCTTATAGATATTTCACCTATCTTACCATGTTAAACTTCGCACTTATGTACACATTATTGAAGCTCGGGTGGTAACGCTAAAATTATGCTTCGCCGTAAGCGCATGCATTGCATGAATGTGGAACCACCTGTTAATCATCAGATACGTATGAGTAATATAAGTATGACTAGGGCGGAGTCGAGAGCGGTAACTTCCACCCTGCGGATTCTCCGACTGAACAGACAGGATTTAAGTTTTGATGCAGTTTTAAAGGGTTTGTTACTTGTCTCGAGAGACCATCATTGCTGCCATTTCCTCTGAATGACCGATCAAATAACGGGTTTAAAATCTGTACAATGCAATGGATGAAAATTGATATAAATGCTACGTACCATATTCTGAATCGACTGGCGTTGAGATAGGATGTCGTCAGATGCTTCAATCTTTTGGGGGGCACCGGGTGATATCGTTGACTGTTGCTGGTCCAACTTCGCACTACTACTGATGATTTCGCACCGGACGTTACTCGATGTGTGGGACACCTGCGGTTAAAGGATGGTTATAGTAATAAAACCATGCTGAACAACTGTTATACCTGAGTCAGTTATACGGATGTAATTTAGATTAAATTAAGTTATACTAACACCAACTATAAAATTAGAAAAAGGTACATGACATGTTTAACAATGGCAGACAGCAGCACTGGTGACGCATATAGACACATATACTGCATGTACATGACAATTCCGTCTTTGCGTATTGCAGAGTTATCTGCTCTTGTTAACAGGTATTGATTGTTACGTGATTTGTTTGTGAGATTTTTGAGAAAACGACGTAATTTTCTCACACAAACCAATGGCGTAACAATCAATACCTGCTCACAAGAGAAGATAACTCTGCAATACGCAAAGACGGAATAAAAGATAAGTATTATAACTAATCAATGACCTAGTATAACTAAATATAGTTAATGAAAAGGCCATTGACAGCTTTATCATTCACTCTAATGCAACTTCTATAGCTTGTGTATCGTGGAACATTTTGTCCCATCTTCCCTAACACCGTTAGTCATAGTAAACTATCTACTTACCTTATGGTTCTGTGCCTCTACCAACACGGAACCTTGTAAGTTCTTCCTGGGAAATTCTATAGTAACTCTGGTCTCGGGCAGAGGACTAGGACCCCTGTTGTATATACTAAACGTTTTCTCTATGGAGATCAGTTTATTTGAGTCAGGAGAAATAGTGGCTTGTTCAGGGTTAGAGCTTCTGTAAATTTGAAAACAAAACATACTTTTTTATATACAATTTAATTAATATTTGAATCAAGAGAATGTGCATTAAGTATTCACAGCTTTAAAAAATCTCAAGGGCAAAGAAAATGGGTAAACGCTTTCTCTACTGTTATTTGCTTCAAAATTAAAAGGAGACGTTTTTTGAACGCTTCTTAGAGTTGATCATTAATTTACCCCGAGTAACGAAACCTTGACGGTTGACCAAAGGGAGTAACTTCCGTGTTAAATTGATGTTACTCTTCCAGGTTGTATCATTAATGAAATATCTACAGCAGGACATCTGAATCAATTTTCAAACATATCAATTACCCAAGCAAGGAAACATGTTTTTGTTTGGGTACAAAATGAGCATGATCAAGACAAACAAGGAAATGTGCTATAGTTGAAATTTTCGCGGTGTGGACATTTTCGCGTGTTAAGTGATATAGGGCGAAAGTATCCGTATATGAATAATTATAAATAGATTATATAGGTAATAGATAACTAACATACATGTATATAGAAATCAGAATTATTGCTAACGCGATAATGTCCACACCGGGATCAGTTTCAAGGGTTACAATTTAAACATTTTCACAGCCGAAAATGTTCACATTTACAGCATAACAAAGAGCGTACCCATATATAATGATGTCAGGTTTGAACGTGACGGGTATTTCAATCATGTGAACGTTGTCTGTGGGGTCTGTCTCCTCACTTTCGGTAGTAGCTGTCAAATTGAAACTGACTCTGGGATCAATGTCGGCTAAGTTTCCGTCGCTAGGCAACAATGAAGAGTATGTGAGGTCAAACTGACCAGCCATGGTCTGGAAGAACGGGGTCGTGAAGTCACAAGTGACATCATCAATCATTCCAGTTCCATTTTGTTTGCAAATCATTTGGCCCGCTTCTATTTGATCACTACGGAAGCCAACGTTTGTGCTCGACCGTGTCGCAACTCGAGTGACAAAAGCCGGCTCCCCGAGGTTTTTGATGTTCACACTGATAGTAATGTCCTGTACTTTACCAACAATGATTTCGGTCGTGTCGTAGGTGACATCTATTTGTAGGTTAGAACGACATCGCTGTCGCCCACATCCAGTATTAAAGTCTGCCTGAAAACAGTGAAAAATGCTAACATCATCAACGGAATTATCGAAAATATTTGTGGAAACTTATCAGTTTAGATGTACTTACTGAAAAAACTGCTCGATATGTTTACAAGATACATTAACTAATAGTATCCTGCCGTCACTAGTTGGTTTTCAAGTGTCAAGCTCTGCTATCACTTTCACCCTTAAACAGTTAATGGCGGAGTAGTGTAAAAACTGCATATACTGTTACTACGAAATGTTAAACAAGTGTATACTACATTTAAACATACCCTGCCGGTATATATGTGAGGTCTACGGTGTAAGTCACTACATATTATGTCATAACATTTGTATATAATCATATAAACATACGCTGATTGAAATAGCTGGATTGTTCAGATTTTCTGATCGTTTAGGTTTTCTACGGAGTACGTCACCGCGTATAACGTCATATCACTTGTACAGAACAGATTTAAAAAGTATAGCATTGCATTTCACCATGCGCTGACTGAGATAGCCGGATTGTCAGGTGGGCTACGAGGTTGGTCGCTACTTACGCTGACTGAGATAGCTGGGCTGTTCAGGTTGTCGAGTATTGGCAGCACCTGTCCAGGTAGAGGTTCACTACTCAAAGTGTAGTTGAGATCGAACTCCACGGGTTGTTCTATAGCGGCGAAAAACTCCCGATCAAGAGCCTGGTACAATAGCGATAATAAATGTTTTTTTCTATATCTAAAACATATAGTTACGAAGGTTCGTTGATCTAAATTGTAACGCCCATTCTAAAACGTAGGCAGAAGAAAGATATTAAGGACTTCATACTGCCATCGAATTTATTGTTTTATAAGATATCAACACAAAGAGACAACAAACCGAGTCTTTGATAAGGAAAGGATTGAATTGATACAAATTTGAAAATAACAAAAGTAGCAAAAGATCGAATTGTAAAACGAGAGTATTTTTTCTTTTCTCTTCGATTTCATAATGATATAATTTAACCGATGACATACCAAACTATATAAAAACATAGTTATATTATTTCCAGTTTCAAGATATTCATACCGCTGCAAAAAATAAACAGTGTATTGGAAACCTTTTCAAACATTTCTATAGCTTTGATAAATCATTTCTGGAAAGGAAACCTTACCTTACAGAACTCTAATGATAAATGATAAATATCAAATAAACAAGAAAAAGTCAACAACAGTGTTCTGAATGTAAAAACGCACCGGGGTCAATACAGTATTCGAACAATGGACCTGCAATCATTACACGTTCAGTTTTACCGACTGGTTTACCGTTCACCTATTATCACTTCGATTTTCAACCATTAGTTTTAATTTTGTTATTCAACCCTTAACACATAATCACTGTGGTACGCAGCCATTTACTGGCACTATACCAAAATCGGAACAATTTCTAGAGGAATATCAATGTAATTTATACAATTGTATCACTTCCTAAAAATGTTTATTATTTTTTTCATAAATAGATAGCATCCAAGTTTATTTTCTAAGTTGTATTACAAGTTGGTATTTCCAGCCCATGGTTTTATAAATAGAACGCAAAATATCATCAGGACCACGTTTGCCATTAAATAGTTGGAAATGTACCCTGAAAGAGATACTCTGGTATTTTGGCTAATATTGGGGGATGACGGCGGCGATAACATTGAGGAAGTTTGGTTTCATTTTTTCGCCATTTTCACAATCTTATTTGTTCGCCATTTTCACAATCTCATTTTTCGCCATTTTCACAATCTCATTTTGACATTTAACCAGTAAATGACATTCAGATTAACTCAGTAACCTATGTGAACTTACTTTTACACGCGCTACAATAGTTTTACAACTGGTGATATTTTTCTGGATTTGATATTTAGTGATAAAATCGTCTCCCTTCATTTCCCCTTCAATGTACAGGTCCATACGACTAGACTTTCCTTTATTCTTCCTCGAATTGTCAACACGCAGTCCGATATCAAGATCTGAAGGATAAGAACGTAAGGGAACAACATAATATCTTACAACATAACGGGACAGCATATATCTCTTAACGTAAGGGAACAAAATAATATCTTACAACATAACGGAACAGCTTACATCTCTTAACGTAAGGGAACAACATAATATCTTACAACATAACGGAACAGCATACATCTCTTAACGCAAGGGAACAACATAATATCTTACAACATAACGGGACAGCATACATCTCTTAACGTAAGGGAACAACATAATATCTTACAACATAACGGAACAGCTTACATCTCTTAACGTAAGGGAACAACATAATATCTTTCAACATAACGGGACACCATACATCTCTTAACGTAAGGCAACAACATAATGTCTTACAACATAACGGGACAGTATATATCTCTTAACGTAAGGGAACAACATAATATCTTACAACATAACAGGACAGCATACATCTCTTGACGTAAGGGAACAACATAATATCTTACAACATATCGGGACAGCATATATCTCTTAACGTAAGGGAACAACATAATATCTTACAACATAACGGGACAGTATATATCTCTTAACGCAAGGGAACAACAAAATATCTTACAACATAACTGGACAGCATACATCTCTTAACGTAAGGGAACAACATAATATCTTACAACATAATATCTTACAACATAACGGGACAGCATATATCTCTCAACGTAAGGGAACAACATATTATCGTACAACATAACGGAACAGCATATATCTCTTAACGCAAGGGAACAACATAATACCCTACAACATATCGGGACAATACAGATCTTATGAAATAACGGTAAAAAAGTTACCTCACTGATAAATGTACATATTTCTTTACAAATGAGAACTTATCCACAAATTAATCCAAAGTCAGTTCAATATATATATATATAGAACGACAGACCGTTTAACATAGCCTCATTATTGATCAATATTCTATTGAACAACATTGTTTGATACATCTCGCCATCCTCGATACTCATAGGGTTACTTTCTCTCTCTGCACACATGGTATATGTCATAGCAAATTTGAAGGCACGCGACTAGCTTTTAGATTGGTCTCAGGAAAAAAAATCGCTATGCTGATACATTTCTTTTGAAGATTACAAAGGAGTTTCATCAGACTTGAAAGTCAGTCAATTGTACCGTTCTGCTACCAACAGATTCTTTTGATGTATATCAAAGGATCAGATAAGACTTTTGGACTCATCCACAAGATGGTGCAAACGGAGCCTTTGATTTTGTTTTAACAAGGAGGCGCACACCGAGCCTTCAATTTTGCTATGACATATTCCAGGAGTGCATAGAGCGAAAGTGAGCGTAACCCCTGGTGTATCGAGGATGCATATACAACATAACTGAAATGAAACTATTAAATGATACAGCACGAAATATATATATTTCTAAAAATCAAATGAATTATATCTAAGCAATGGATACATTTTGAAATGATTTTCTGAAATTAAGTATCGCTACATATTTGGAAAATTAAGGGATATTACATGTACCTATACGGTCAAGTCCTCTGCCAGTGAAATTGAAGCAAATTTTGTAGGTAAGACATGGAAATGGGTCGTCCACCCGGTGGCAAGCCTGGCCAGCAGGGTTCAAGGGCACCAACACAGGGTACAAGGCCACAGATCGATCAAGCTTGACAATTGGACGTCCTCGCAGTATTACTGCTTGGTCTGACATATACGCTCCCACCGATATATCTGGGTAATTATAAGCAAATCATGGGATTAAATTATAATAAGTGTGTTATAATATCAAGCAGTAAGTTTGTAGTAAGAAACATCTCGAGATAATGTCACCATTTATCCAGTAAAATAGTATTATATAAAGTGAAAAATATACAAGATTACAACGGAAACAGCGAAACAAAGAAAATGAGAATAAGCGCGAGGCAGCAAATGAGATGAAGGGCATTATATCGAGAGTTTATTGTACCTTATTTTATTATTCATACCAGTGTGTTTATAATTAATATATATTAAAAGAAAACAAAAGTAAACATGCATCTCGATACGCAGATATTACTCACAGTCCAGTTGATATTTGCACTTAATATACCTTATAATGAAAGCATTCAAATTATGATGTTAATATCTAAAGAAAAGTAAATCAAAAACTGAAATATAAAGTGGGTGAACAAAGAATTAAGGTGCGTTGATAGCTAATCCACAGTTTTGTTAAATACTATTTTAGAAAGTTCAGACACAAACATTATATTCTTCGATCAGTTATTGAATGTTTTTTTCTGAAATTTAGTGTGCATGTACCTCAATTATGTTTGAGAAATATTGGAGGAGGATTATTTTGTGACAGGGATTGTTTAATGCTAACGGAATGCATTATTGAATTTGATATACAGTTAGGTGTGGCAGCCGTATTGGGATGTCCTTAATGACAAAACAAACGTTCTCATGCTCAAACTAGGAATCTGTAGTCCAGGTCGATTGAGTACAGAATCTATGCTTGAGTATGAGATCGGTTTCATTATACGGGTTCTTAATGTCACTCTTATGTAATCTTACCGTTGTATGTGTTGAAATCGACGTCAAGAGGGGACGATATATGGAATCCAAACGCTCTGAGTTCCGGATCCAGCGATTTAGCAGTAATACGTTGAGAGAACACAGACTTCATGTTCTGATGATTTCCGTTATAAATGTAGATACATCCTCTCTGGTCATCTTCATATGGTGCTCCGATTGCAACATCTGTAAACGAATCAAGGAGTGAACTGTAATAATGAAATTAACTTGGGTCATTCCTATCGTGTTTGACAGCGGACTACCAATGCCCTTTGTCTTAACGATCTTCTAATTGCTTGGTTTGTCCAAGCATATGTAACCATTGATACAAATGTGCAAAGTATACATATCTGTACTTTAAACAAGGGGCATCAGAGACTTATTTGGATATATAATTTTGTTCTGCAACTTCCATTTCAGATATATTATTCTTTTTGCATTTGGATATAAATCACACAAACAACCATAATCTTTACAATGCCGTGTACCGAGAGGAAGTACAGTATTTTGAGTATGTCAGATAGATTTGGCATATCGATTTCAATAAACACAGGCAACAGGATAACCTTTTTTAAGACATTTTGAATCGGAATGCTGAATGTCTCCATCCTGACATGTTACAAATTTATTGCAATCTACTGTCAGTATGATCAACTGTCACAAACACCACTTCTTACCAAACCCCTTACACATAAAATCAAACCTAAACACTAACAAAATAACGACAGACACTACTAAAAAACAAATACACTAAAAAAGCGAGGTAACATATGAAAACAATACATCATAACATCAACTTGTTAACCATAAACACCAATCACTACCTACATCCTTAAACGTCCATCACAAACTCTCACCTGCATCAAAAGCACAGAACACAAACCGCAATATATATCCTTAACGGAGACACCACAAACTCTCACCTGTATCAAAAACACAGAACACAAACCGCAATATGTATCCTTAACGGAGACACCACAAACTCTCACCTGCTAATCAACCACACACAACACAAGCCATCACCTACATCCTTAAAAACCATTACGAAATTACTCCTGCACACCAAATACATCTCCCAAAAACCGCTACCTACGACCTTAATAGACACTGTAAGATTACACATAAATACAACATGTACACCCGTTACACATCTCACACACTACAAAATCTCACCTGTTCACACAAAATATGCAACCCAAACCGCCACAAATCCAACATCACGCCACAGCCAAACAACATACCACGCTGCCCATATACTGTAACATACATCACAAAATCCCACCTACACATCAAACCCATAATACACGAACGGTTACTTACACCCCTTAGACATGCATGAACAACGTACATAATAAAAAGCATACAAAAAATATATATAATTCATCATAATTAATAATACCAGTGAAACCGTCAGCGTTGACATCTCCAATATCTGCCATTGCCATCCCAAATCGTCCATGTATGGTCCCCGTTCCCATCAGGTTGTCTCCGTCCCGCAGAATGTTTACCTATTCAAAATAACATGGACAATGTTTATTTCAGGTATATATGAATTTGACTATTGAGTTATGGGTTAATATGTTTTGTTTATATTTGAGAGTCTCTCCCTGACCCCGATTATATCGACACTGAATTCGGTCCTTGGATGTTTATACTATAGTCTTATTTGTCCTCGGTCATTGTAGCTACTATATATGTTATTTCAGTATATGCTTTTGCATAGGCAGTGGAGCAGCAGACTTTATTTACATACTCAATATGAAGTCAAAGTAATGATACATAGAAAAGTTTAACAAAATGGATGTTCATGCATACCATTTTTTTTTTTTACACAACATGCCTATAATAGAAATTGCTTTGTATGCTTTGCAAAAGCATTATGTAGGTTATATGACTAGCGAATGATACCAACTACTCCACAACTGTACAAGGGTTGTCACTTTTATCAACCAGACCACCTCACTATAACGTCTAGCCAGTACAGGCAGATTATCAATACGCACTTAACCGTTCTTTGCTGACTTTTCCCAGACGGCTGATAAGCCAACCGCTTATAGATGACAGTGTATGAAAAGAATGTTACATCCTTCAACAGTTTATCCAAATACAGAGGCAGGGCTATTATTAAAAACATTTTTCAAAGTTGATAATTGATTTTACATTACAACACTATTTCAAAAGACGGGAAGACTTTTCAATTAGTGTTGATTGCAATTTTTGTTAGGTATCTTCGTTAAGCCCCTCGAAACAGAACGATTGTTTGATTTTAAGAAGTTCTTTATTTCATCGAGGATGCTTGATTATTCCTAATTTTAGACTGTTTAGAATGTTTCAATGGTGACACAAAACTTACATAGTCAAATTAAGAACATGCAATAAAAATGATTAATATTTCTTGCACGTGACGTACTCTATCGGAGGTGCCGTAGTAGACCTGCACTAGACCCTGGTCAGTGGCTTGTTCAGTGTAGAAAGGTGACCCTACCAATAGGTCATCCATACCGTCCCCGTTTATGTCAAGCACAATGAGAGCAGCACCAAAACCACATCCAGGCTGTGAAATGATTTACAAATAAAGCTTTACACAATAGCGTAATGAAATATAGATATGAGTAGCTATCGAACGAAATACAGCTATTACATAACTATCTAGCAAAATACAGTCATACATAACTATCGAACAAAGTACAGCTATACATAATTATCAAACAAAGTACAGCTATACATAAGTATCGAACAAAGTACAGTCATACATAACTATCGAACAAAGTATAGTTATACATAACTATCGAACAAAGTACAGTTACACATAACTAGCAAACAAAGTACAGTTATAAATAACTATCGAACAAAGAACAGTTATACATAACTATCGAACAATGTACAGTTATACATAACTAGTAAACAAAGTACAGTCATACATAACTATCGAACAAATTATAGTTATACATAACTATCGAACAAAGTACAGCTACACATAACTACCGAACAAAGTACAGCTAAACATAACTATCGAACAAAGAACAGTTATACATAACTATCGAACAAAGTAAAGTTATACATAACTATCGAACAAATTACAGTTATACATAACTATCGAACAAATTACAGTTATACATAACTATCGAACAAAATACAGTTATACATAACTATCGAACAAAGAACAGTCATACATAAGTATCGAACAAAGTACAGTTATACATAATTTCCGAACAAAGTACAGTTATACATAACTAGTAAACAAAGTACAGTCATACATAACTATCGAACAAAGTATAGTTATACATAACTATCGAACAAAGTAAAGTTATACATAACTATCGAACAAATTACAGTTATACATAACTATCGAACAAATTACAGCTAAACATAACTACCGAACAAAGAACAGCTAAACATAACTATCGAACAAAGAACAGTTATACATAACTATCGAACAAAGTACAGTCATACATAAGGATCGAACAAAGTACAGTTATACATAACTACCGAACAAAGTACAGCTACACATAACTACCGAACAAAGTACAGCTAAACATAACTACCGAACAAAGTAAAGCTAAACATAACTATCGAACAAAGAACAGTTATACATAACTATCGAACAAAGAACAGTTATACATAACTATCGAACAAAGAACAGTCATACATAAGTATCGAACAAAGTACAGTTATACCTAACTATCGAACAAAGTACAGCTAAACATAACTATCGAACAAAGAACAGTTATACATAACTATCGAACAAAGTACAGTTATACATAACTATCGAACAAAGTACAGTCATACATAAGTATCGAACAAAGTACAGTTATACATAACTATCGAACAAAGTACAGCTAAACATAACTACCGAACAAAGTACAGCTAAACATAACTATCGAACAAAGAACAGTTATACATAACTATCGAACAATGTACAGTTATACATAACTAGTAAACAAAGTACAGTCATACATAACTATCGAACAAAGTACAGTCATACATAAGTATCGAATAAAGTACAGTCATACATAACTATCGAACAAAGTACAGTTATGCACAACTATCGAACAAAGTACAGCTATACATAACTATCGAACAAAGTACAGCTATACATAACTGTCTAGCAAAGTACAGCTATACATAAATATCGATCAAAGTACAGTTATACATAACTATCGAACAAAGTACAGCTATACACAACTATCGAACAAAGTACAGCTATACATAACTATCGAACAAAGTGCAGCTATACATAACTGTCTCGCAAAGTACAGCTATACATAACTGTCTAGCAAAATACAGTTGTACATAACTGTATTATTAATAAACAGAGACGATCATAACTGTTAAACGTAAAAGAAATATATAATTATCAAATGAAATACAGTTAAACATAAAGGTCAATTGTTATAAACATAACTACCAGCACATTAAATACCCTCATAAATGACAGTCTAATTTAACAGAGAAATACACTATATCAAATATAATACACCTCGACATAAAGGTCGATTGTAATAAACACAACTATCGGCACATTACACTCATAAATGACAGTCTATATTAGCTTTGGTCATACCCGTCAAACGTAATGAAGATATACATAATTAACAAATGTTATACAGATTTACATAAGATTATACAAATAAATATAGATTGACAAATGTACTGCTGTTAACTAACCTATCAATCGCAATACAGATATGCATACTTGGAACGTGACATATTTTCAATATGTGTGGTTGCTGTCGTTCGTTACATAATGCGATGAACTTAGTTACATAACGACTTGTCATCAGTTACATATTTGTCATAAGTTTTACTATGTTTTGTTGCTACCCAAATCACGTATCATTAGTTACATGACGCGTATTATTAGTTATTAGTTGTTGATTTAATTGAAATAGCTAAATTCTAGTGACAATTCTACTACAACCTACCTGTTTACCGGATCTTGTTGTTTGCATTTCAAAGCCATCTTGCACAATTCTGAGTAGTACTACCTGTTATAACAAATAACAAAAGCAATATTTAAAATTCATTGTTGGTGATTTTGTCACACAAAAGATGAAAATAATTTCAAACTGGTTCTCATTCTGGACGATAATAAAGCCCGTTACATAGATGTTCCGGAATGGTAAGCGTCATCTGCTTCATCGACAACACCAGAAATGTGTCTAAATCAAAATCAAGAATTGTCACGTCCTCATAAAAACCACAAGGCACATTCATGAGCATAATCAAAACCGTCGACCTTCACTCCACTAAACCAGAGGCCCTGGGGCCTGAACAGCTCACCTTCTTCAGGTTTTTTTATGTGAAACAGACAAATGGATTTCATAAACTTTTTGTGTGAATGCTATATTTGCATAAATGTCAGTTGTTTTAGCATTCAAGATATAATTCGTAATGCTACTTTATTTTTAAATGAATTCATTTTCAGTTAATCTCAAAATTTAAATATAACCATTTTTCAAGGAAAGTTTATCAAATGCCTCATTACAATTACCTTTTCCCTTCAACAAACTTTTACTATTAAGATATAAGAGTCAAATTGAGGTAGGTTTACTTTATCCATAAACAAGATATAGGATTTACCTTTATTCCCAAAACGACTCCACCTTTATGTCCACAGGAAAGCCACACCCTCCCCTTGTACAATGATGTGTCTCCTTGCCTCAATGATGCTCCAGACAAATTAAGGTTCAAATCCATTTATCCGTACTATGTACTTATATATTTACCTACATTCCCCAATTGAGTCCTGTACCTCTACCCCTACAGTGCGTTGACCACCTTTTTATACAATGGTAATTCTATATCAAACCAAATGAGAGTATTATTCCTTACTACTACTCAATGAGTAGGATTTCAAAGATTTTGCTTTATTCCCCGATTGGACCTTATTCCTCTGCCTTTGGGAATTCACCTATAACTCCATTAAGGGGCCCTATCCCGCTGCTCTCCTAAGGACCATACCCTTCATCTACACAAAGTTAAATCGCATTTGCGCAAGGATTCTCAAGACCAATTTAAGGAAAATATTCCTTTTCCCAATTTCAAGAAATAAGATTTTAAAGATTTACCCGCAATTCCCTTAAATCTTAAGTTAAATTTCCGCAGGGGGCACATCCTTCACTAAATCAAAGTTAAATTCCTTTGGACCACGGATGCTCAAGAGCAATTGATGAGATTAAAATCGCTTTACCAAAGCTCAAGAAATAGGATTTTGAATATTATTTTCCCTATTAGGCCTACCTCTCTTCCCCTTGGAAAAAGGATTTTTAAGGTCAGTTTAGATGAAAGTCCTTTCATCGATACCAAAGGTGTAGGACTTCAAAGATTTTCCTGTATTTTCCCTATTGGACCCCGCCCTCTTCTCACAAAGTAGCCACACCATTCAGTTATACAACGGTGATTCATTCCTCTTAGCTTAGCAATGCTCCACACCAATTTTGGACAAAATTCATTTAGCAATTCTGGACTAGTAGGCTTTTTAAGTGAAAAGTTGATAGACGGACGACGGACGTCAGACGCAGCACCCTGACATAAGCTCACTTGCCCTTCGGCTAAACGAACTAAAATTCATTTCCCTATGGGATCACGAAGGCGGCCACAAAACGTGTCCATAATATACATCAACCGGCATCTTGGGAAACCCTTTGTTGTAATTTTGTCTGCAATCAGTAGATATATATTACGGACATCATGATATGATGAGCAGCTGGTGAATATTTCATCGACTGGGGCATTTAAGCACAGTAGGTGGTAAAACAGGGATGTTAGTTACGAGCAAGGGAAAGCTAATGCTCGGAATGTCAAATTCGTCCGGAATATTTTATAGCTTAGCAGGAGGTCGTCCGTGTTATTGAAGTCGTGATTTAAAGATAGGTAAAAGCGACTGAAGAATATGTTGTGCCCTTGATTTGAAACCCAGGAGGAAATATGCGATCCACGTGGTCAATACATTTCTTGTTATTCAAAAATATAACATTGAGTGGTTTATTTGAATTTGAAACTAATTACTTGCGTATGATTTTGTGACCAGTCCTTGGAAGCTATTCAAGGAATTAAGCCCACTACAAAAATACAATCCATCAGAATAAAGAAATGTGATTCCTGTTAACAGTAGAAGTCGCGATACTTCGGACCCTTTCATAGCTTTGCATTATGGATAGCTTAGATCGTCGGTTACTTCATGTCCATCTAGACCATAGTTAAAAGGGAATGTAGCGCAAGACCATCGCGAAGGAGTGTGAAATGTGGACAAAGAAATGTATCATCGCATAACTAGAATGTGCATATTTCTATGCATAACACATTGTTCAACCTGCTCTTCATTGGTATACAATGTTTGTCCCTCTAACCCATGCGAGGCCTCATGCTTATTCTCCAAGGGCGCCACCACAAAACGGTAGTCCTTCTATGATTCACCACTTTCCCCATGTTTAGGTCCATAAACCCCAAAGCTGAGTCATTATTTATTTTCATATAAAATAAACTATCTAGACTTAAAATTGGTTAACACAAATCACAACGGAACAATGTTTTTTCGTTAATCAACGTTAAAATATAGGCATCTACATCAATAAAAATGTACTTACAATTGGGAAATCAGTCGGGAAAAAAACTTAAACATGCTGAGGAAAGCCGTGCAAGGTTTTGAAATATCTTGGATACCAACCGAACTGAGCACTAACACGTCACCTTCTCGATGGTCTCATGATACCGAGGCGTTCGGCATACGTCGATATACAAACCGGTTAGACACGGTGACTGATTATGGACATGTTTGCACTTCACTTTTTGACTATGACACCACCAAAAGGCGAAAAGAAAATAACCCTAATCAACCACAATCGTAAAGAGTACATGTCAGCCAAACAATATCACCAATTACAACGGTTGTTACACAATCGATTAAAGGCAGTTTTAGGAATATCTGAGTATGTTTATTATCATAATCGCTTGGCGTGCTGGCTTTTCTGTCGGTACAAAAAAAAAATGATGCTTTAAATTCCTTACAATTCCAACATGCCCTTCAGGGTTGCTGTAGCGAGGAGCACCGGCAACAACAGTTCCGAAAGTGGCGATTCCAAATTTTCCAGATCCTACGGAATAACCTATAAACAAGCAATATTATTTTTGATCAAGATGGCATTTCAAACTGTAAGAATTGTTAGTAGGCTCATCATTGAATATGCAGATATAAAACTAAAATCAACTTCGTAATTACTTGAAGCGTTTTGAAAGAAGGTACATTGAAGGTACCAATGTTAATCTTTGACCCGGCCAGGGGCCAGTGATATTGGAATTGAACAGAATATATTAAAAATATTTGCACTGATGGTCTGCATAACATATCCAAGTATCATTGTTCTTTACCTAATACTTTGTTTACGAACAATATTAAGTTTTTATCAAATTGGACTTCTGTGACCTTGCGAGGCGGTCATTGTCGTTTATTCGAAGACACTTTATAGTACTCCAATCAAAGTACCTACTGGCCAAACATAAAGATTGTTGGTCTTTCAGTTTTGAAGACGATGTAAATTCTTCAATTAAAATGCTGATGGGTCGACAATGGTATGATAATACAGACAAATAAATTTCACGTTTGATATGTCCTGGCATACATTTCAAGCGTTTCGTGGATTCGAATATAAAGCCAAATGTGTTTTAAGCGATGTATATATAGAGGAATGTATATAATGAATCTTACCTAGATATGATGACTTTTGAAATGAGTTACGCAGATCTCTATCTTTTGAAACCAAATAATCTAGCGACTGGTCTAGACCGTTGATGTCTGTGAGAACAAATCCACCTAAAACACGTTCAAATAGGACACGTTTTAATGGACACAATTCACTATTCATTTTAACATGTGAACATACCTTTTTGTCTAACCGACGTTTCTCCAGTTATGTACAACAAAATAAATTCATCAATGGTAAATAAAACAAAATTTATCTTATTTTACAACAATTATGAAATTTCTCCAACTTATATTAATACCGTTGGAACGTGTGACTAAAATCAGCTCCTAATCAATTTATATTGTTATTCAAATCATTGAAAAGCTAGGTATTCTTGATCGGTATATTTTACACATATTAATTAGAAGTTTATAATATTTTTCAACACATTTTCTTTCTTAGTGGTAGTATGAACGTCTCTTTTGCTGTATTTTGGCCTCAAAAGAGATAGTTTAGGTCGCATAGTGGCAACAGTCCATATATATAGATTTGGGTTCTGCTTGTGCAGGTATGGTTATTCATAATTATTAACCTATCTTCATAAGACGTCCTATTTCTAAAGATAAGTCTTGGATGTCCGTTTGACCAATATAAGTAACTAGCCGTCCTTATTATAGAATCAAAGGATCACCATGGTTGCATCTAAATACATCACAACATGACAGCCCTGACATTTCAAAAATCTCCCCTAAATATAGCATCCTTTTACTCAAAATATATCTCTTGAGCTGCCCTCTTAACTCATCTAAGTCTGACCCTACTAAACACGGACTACTCCTACTCTAAACTAATTATACACACTGACAAGAGCCCTAGCTACATGTGTACATTATGTATCTATACACATGTGTGTTGTCCAAAGCAGCCCAATACAATCCTGCATCTAATTACACAACATCACCCTAGCTAGCATACCACTTGCCTAGCCCTAATCTCCCAGTTGGTCAGTGCTTGTCCGACTACAAAAGAGTTACCCTTACTGATTAGATGCCCTATTCATTCGGTTATCAAACATTCCCTGTTAATCATTTCTCTTCATATGAAATAATACTTTAAACTAAAAACAAGTTCTCACCGCTTAATGAATAAAGCGCAAGAGTTAACTAGAAGCAAGTTTGTTTTCTATCTCTCTGATAAGTTGTTCGATTCGATCTCTTTCTCTGATTCAGGAGAAAGAAGTGATGCAAGATCGCATCCGATAGGAAGAGAAAGAAACCAGGAGAGGAAAGCAATGCTAAAACATCTCCGGATTCGGATTAATTTAATGGTTTAGCATTCCTTGGATTAGACAATTCCAGTTTTGGAAAGAAGAGCAATTTAGACCCCTCCAGTTTCGGAGAGAGAAGCAATGTTAGATCACTCGTGATTAGGAGTTAAGCAATGTTAGAGCACACGTGACTAGGAGAGGAAACCAATGTTAGACATCTCCTGATTATGAGAGAGAAGTAATGTTAGATCACTCGTGATTTCGAGAGAGAAGCAATGTTAGATCACTCGTGATTCGAAGAGAAAATGATATATCTAATAAAATAGCAAACCTTTGCCGTCGTAGAATCCTGGGGCCCCCATAACAGTGTTGAAGACAGGTACGAATTCCTGTAAAACAAACCAAAGCAGCACTTTGAATTTCACTTATAAATGACCGAGCACTTCATGACACAATAGCAAAACAAATACTGATCTAATATTGACTGTACCAGGGAAAAAGTTGAAACAAAAAAAATATTTAGTGTTGAACATTGAAAATGAAGTAATATTAGCTGTGAATAACAGTGTGAACAGAAGGACTCGATGCATAAAAAAAAAAAAAAAAAAACAGCGATCAGTGTAAACAGTGCTAAAGCAAAAATTTCGCTGTTTATGTACGGTGGCAAGTTACATGTAGTCAGGAATATTATTCTTGAAGTCATCCGCTTATCTGTACAGTAACATTAAACACAAGGTCATTGGTATTGCGTGTAGGTTATGTTTCGGTTTTTTAAACCACCATATAAAGAAAATAAATGCTGGCTTATATAATTTAAGCTAAGCCGAGTACAATTTATCAAGAAATCTCATAAAATGTTAGGAAACCTATAAATAAAATTGCTAAGGATGTATTCTGTTGAGAAAATAGAAAGGTAATTTTTTCTAATATAAATTTTGGAAAAACGAGTGACTTATATGTCTTTGTGTTCGGTTTAAGGCAATAATCGGTCAAATAAACCAATTTATCATAATTTGTGATTATTTGCGATTTTTGCTTAACTGTTTAACATGAAATGTTTGTTGTGTATAAACATTCATGGTTTTCGTGGTTGCTATTAAACCACGGAAAAAGTACATCAAATTTGAATGATATACGTCTACTGTTTATTTATATAGGATATCCACGAAAGTTTGTACCACGAAACGATCTAAAATCCTCAAACCACGATGGAAATTACCCACGAACACAGTACTTGGATCGTATTGCAGGATGAATTTATACAATGTCTTCCAACAGTCTTATCAGAAATCTACAAATGTTTGCAAATTATTAAGCAAAGTGCCAACGGCACTAGACGATTGGCAGCATGAATGTGTGTGCGTTTTTCTATAGATTTAGCCTGAAAGGGTAGACTTCTCGATGTGGTCCGTTTACAACACTGAACCCATGTCGCTCCTGTTACAGAAGCAACATCAGTATTTTCTTAACATCATACTTTTCGACAAGATACATATTATATCAAAGGAAATAGCATATATAAACAATAATACAATGCAACTCCAATATCTGTTTTACTACACACTACATAATCTATATTCTGATTTGACTATGAATTTATTTTATCTGGCGTGGTTACAATATGGTGAACATTACAAAATTGACGCTTTAACATTTATAGTAGCTTTCGTTATGCTGTAACATAATTTAGTTTGAAAACTCTATCAGATAAACACAGCCAAATGAAGGACTTTTAAAATACAAATACATTTAAGTAACAATTAGTCAAATACAGGCATACGATCATGTGTTCTACTTTCTTAGTCCTGTCGACATAGGCCGGTTTGACCTATCAAGTCCTAACATTCAGTATTTATGTTTATAAAGTTTAACTTGGATGAAAGCAGTATACTAAGATTGAAACTTACACCGTGGCATAAACTTTGAGCTTTGATCTCCCGTTATTAAATTGTGAAAAACAAAATGTGGACAAAAAGTGGATTCTAAAACTTCAATCAACAAAATCAAATAAAAATAGCCTCAGTGATACAATAAATACCCTTTAACGACGTTTTATATAACAAAACATATAAAAGGTCACAAATATTTAAAATTATAAAATGTATTTGATACGTTTCACTGTAAAAGTACAAAACTGTAACGGTCTCAACCACAAACCTTTTGAAATAAAACTGGAGCACATCATAGTTCTACTTCGCGTAACTCGACATGTGTCGTCGTGGATAGAAACTTAATAGTAGCTACCGTTGTAGACGTTCTCAACTGATGGTGTTCTAAAAACTGCATTACATAAAGTTCTTGAGTTTTCATTCAATGACGTCAAATAAAAAAAATGAATGGTTAAAGTCCAAAAATCAGCGGTAAAATAGCAATAGTTACTTTCACAACATATCTGACGTACTTCTACTCACTCTGGTACTTAAAAGTAACTGAAGACCACGTGCACCAGATTTGAAAGTGTGAACACGTAAATTTGTCGGAAGCAGTGTTAAACAAGGTGAACACCCTTACTGTGCCAGCGACATTGTTCTTAGGTTTGTGACAAGATCGGCATCAAAACAAATGAAGAGCTTTATTTAAACTAAATAACTAATGAAATAAAAATGTTGTGTTATTTTCCATTTTGTTGCATATTATTCTCATAATAGTTAACATTAAAAACTTGCAAAGCAAAAAACTACTTGTTACAGTTAAAAACAATAACACTTTTATCTAATGCCAAAAAAAATCAGCATCTAGTTTTATAACGAAATTTTCAGAGTCATGCTTTCATTTAAAATTGATCAAAATGTCGTAATTGTTATGAACAAAAACCTGCAATAGTAGATCAAAACGAGATTTGGTCGTGATTTAAATTTCAGAAGAGAACATTCTTAAATAAGATACAGTGTAGCAAATTAAGCTAAGCACGATGCAAAGTTTAGAAAACACAAAATTATTCATCTTATAAGACTACACTGAAGGTTTCCTATGAGAACTGCGTCTCATATTACACCTTTATGTACTGCATCTACATCTTACCTTTTGCGGTGTTTTAGTAATAGACAGCATATGACCCAACACTATTGTTTAGCACATATATTCACTTTTCCACATTTATGCACTGATAAACAATGCTATAGATATAGTAGTAGTTGCATAGATGTTTACACGAGTTTTCGAAAAGTCTCACAACTAACTTTGGAACTTGGATATTGTTTTGGGAAACCAGGCGACTATGTAAACGTGGATTGTGCTCAAGGACACAGTTGCTTTATACGAGCTCTTTACAACCACTATATTAAATACATCTAATTTCCGTGATTTGAAGCCAATATGGTAAAGAAGCAGCAGATATTTCGGTACATTAAAATATATTTTTTTCGCATACCTTCTTCATTCCAATAAAACGTGCACGTGATTTCAGAGTCCTATGATGATATAAGGGTTTCAGGGCAAAATATATGTTAACGACCCTATTATAACTTCAATACTAAAGAATAGTGTACGAATTGTTTATATCTCATCTAGCAGAAACATTTGTAAGTGTAAAATAAGTGTTAACCTGATGTCAAATATATTCCACGATACATGTGATGTAGTGGGGTGTTTATGATGTGCCCATGCTGGTACGGTCATTATAACCCTGTCGGCGTTGCCATGCTATAATGCCATGCACCATGTGGTGTTACACATGTCTTATTTTAAGTGAACATTGACTAATATAGTCTGCTAATATAGACTTCATCATGACTGAATCCAAGCTCATACTCAGTGTTGTGGTTCGAACAGTAGATTATGGCATTAAGTAAAAACTAATAAAATCTACATTTAACACTTCATCATGAAGTCATTTTGTTACTTTTGAAGAGAATGCCACAAGGTCAATGAAAGTTAGGTCGTCTGTGATAGTCGTCGATATTTAAGCATTTAGAGGTAACAACCTTTATATCTGTGAATGGAAAGCGGGGATAGTATTGCCTATCATGTTAGTTATGCAGCTCAGTTAAAGTAAACCAGTAAGTTAAAATGACAGTCATTCTTTGCAATATTGAGAAATTACACATAACGGTTTGGAATTTTGAAAGAATCAAATAGAATTAAATCAATCTGTGAAGTGAACGCTGCAAATATTTTGAATAATTGATTATTTTCGTGATAACAGCTTTTGACTTTACTTCGATGATAGACTTCCGTTGATAAAAATAACGATTTAACACCATCAAGTCTCGCATAGATATGACATTATGTTTCAAAACATGAGCCCATTACATAATGAACTTTTTTTTATCAAACGTCTTGCTTTAAGTAATTTCTAGTCAGGATCTTATCAAAAAATATGTTTCCAACTTAGTTATGACTGAGTGAAGTCCTAAATGATACACGTATCATATATGAGGGATACGCATTGGATGCATGTGTCTCGCATGCGCAGTGGTGGGAGAGATGTATAGGTAGTATTACATCTATTTCTAAAATGTAATAACATATATATATACTATTACAAATTAATTCAAACCTTGGTGTCAGCACCCCCGGTACTGAAGGTGGCCTTGAAAGAAATACAAGGGTTGAAAATGAGGCCGTAGAGGCGGAATATTTGATTAATCACAAAACATACAGAAGAAAAGATCTGTTTTGATAAATTACCAAATATATAATAGGCGGTAAGTAAATGTGATAAACACTAACAGTAATAGTACTTTAGATAGGTCAAACGAAAAAATGTTGTTTTCTGTTACATATCTGTAAAAGGTAGGTAGGTAATAAAATGTATTTAAAAGTTTTATAAGGTTTATGTAGATGAGCAATCTTGACTTTAACAGTGCTTCTTTGCAGGAAGACACACAAAATGTTAGGGAAGCCGAAAACAAGCAACATTTTTCAATTAGGTACACAGACTTACAGTAAGGTATGTAAAGTACGTAATGGAGAGTAAGTAGAAAATGGGGAAAAAGAGGAGAGAAAGACTGAATGAGTGAATAAGCGACACGTTATTGAGTAAGAAAGCAAAAGTCATTTAGTGAGTTAGACCCAAGGCGAGAGTTAGTAAGTAAATGAGTAAATTAGAAATAAAGGTAGAGGACATGGGGAAATAAATTTGCTGTTTTATATTTAGCATGATATAACTTTCATATTTGTGTTTTGATAAAAGGTTTTGCATAAATAGATATATTCTCGACAATGAAATAAGTGCAATAAATATAAGGTTGTCAAACTTTCGGATCGAGACCCTCATGTATCAAAACAAATTTACGAGGGAAAAGGAAAATACGAAAGAACAACATTATATAAGAATAAAATTGAAATAACATAAAATACAATAATATTATAAGTAAAAGCCGCGGGCAGTTATAACACCAATCGCATCTTTGAGCGTATTTTCTCTCTCTTTATGTCTGACTTTAATCGTTAGTAGTGTTTCCATATTTTAATCTCGTGACCGTTTATTCCGGGCCAAAGTTTTGAAGTTGATTCAATTTGAGGGTGCTGATTTAAATGATCAGGTGTGAACCTCGTAAAAATGTGTAATTACTCGATCAGACGCGAAATTCAAAACAGACGCCACCCGGCGTCCGGTATTTATATAAATACATATCTTTCCTTCTAGATGTCCGTTCAATATGATATTTTGGTCTAAATATATGTTTTGAGGTTCAGGAATTTAATTTATTAGCATAATAACTTGATAATTGTATAACCGCCAGTTGACTGCAAAGGAAAAGATCATAAAGACACCCTTATTGATTTGAAAAAAGGTTCATCTTTAACCATTATAGATTAGATAAAACAATCATTGTATGAAATGTCTTGTTACTAATTTTGTTTATTTCGGGTTTATCGTCCCCGAAACAGTAAGGATCATACGATGACAGGTGTTACACATCTGCCGTGGATCACGGGTTACGTTTGGCTTGTCATGGTTTAGTTAAATGTTAACTTGGTATTTAACTCGTGTCACGTGCAGATTGTAAGAATCTAAATGAGGCGGGATTCGGCATTCGGCCTTCTTTTTAATCTAACCACTCTTCTGTGCTCTGGCTTCACCAAAAGATTTACTGATTTTATCATTGTAGATATGTCGAATATGTATAAAGTGTATGTGGTCATTTGCTGAAACGCCTCTTATGTTACTGTACATGCTTTGTCTTTGAAAAGATTACACTCCTCGTGAGTTTCTGTCCCCCTGTCCATAGAAGCCAGGTTTTGTATCATACCAACTGTGGATATGTACTGGGATATGGGATTAAGGACTTAGCTACCTCAACAGAGCAAAGATCTCTGCAGCTGATGATTTTGTCCTTCCGTGTGATTAAATCAGAAAGTATCCTTTTACCCAATAAAAACTACTAAGTATTACATTTTGGTAATGTGAATTATCTCCCCTAAAATTAAAGAGTGGTATAGCTTTACCTTCAAACTTGCGGTGGAGAATCCAAGCAACCCCATGCCATATACATATGTCGACGTACTGTCCACCAGAGGTCGCTTCCTGTACATTGAACGGCTCATCGGTCCGTCAAGATTGTCTAAATCACCAACATTACAGCGTCCCAACCCGTACAGAATTCTTTTTGTTGCCTCGCTAGAAGTCATCTTGTGTTTGGACGCACAAATCTGCAACATATATTTTACTTCCTTATTGACGGCTGCGTAACAACTAATGTATGTTTCTTTATAAAAAATATCGGAAGGTAAAGTTTTTTCACAAACCTTTGCGTAATTGGTCCTATATAAAAGTTTTATGACAATTAATGCTATTTTTCACGGGAACTACTTTTCCTGTAACAGTAAAGAGGTTACGCCCACTGACGCTCAATGCACCCCTTAAATATGTCGTAGCAAAATTGAAGGCAAGCGGCTAGCTATTCGATTTGTCTCCGGTAAAAGAAAGACCTGTCAAATCGCTAGGCTTATACCTGTCCTATGGAGATTACAGAGGAGCAACATCCGACTTCAAAGCTTTTCAATTTTCCCAATTCTCCAGATTTGTTTTGATGTACATCAAACGATCAAACAATTCTTCACAAAGTGGCGCGCACTGAGCCTTTGATTTTGTCATGACATATTCCATGGGTGCAAAGACCGAAAGTGAGCGTAACCTCTGGAGTATCGAGGATGACACAAGATATCCATTTCTAAAATATAATAATAATACTTCGAGGTTCTCATATACCGCTTTATCACAACCAAGTTCGTCTCAAAGCGGTTCACAAATTATTTTCCGTTGTTATAGGGCCTTTGCAACCAGCCAATACCTTTCTCAACTCCCTAGGGAGAATACAGCCGGAGCTGCCATTTTGGCGCTAACAGCTAGCATTCAACAATTCTAGCACTGCCCAACCACGTACACATTTACAGCTGAGTAGACTGGTACAAGCGGAGTAAAGTATCTTGCTCAAAGATACAACACAGAGCCGTGCCGTGACTCGAACACGCAACCCTTCGGTCACGAGCCCGGGGTCCTACAACCTACCGTGCCTCCATAAATAATTCCTGTAGTTAGGGTATTTTATTCCTAAGTTAAATATATATTCCTTTTTTTTTCCTTGTTGAATGTCAATCAGTTTTGTTTTTCTCAAATCTTTTCTTCTACTGCCGTTTTATTGTAATTGTTTGGATTGAATTTACTGCTATTCATTTTATCTTTTCGATGGATACCGTAACTTAAAATCCCAGGATTTTTAACTATAAATATATCAATGCGACATGTTTAAATACATATTTAATTCTATTTCTGTTCGTGTTTAGTTCGGTTGTGTATGGAATTATTTTCTTATCGCATGAAAAGTAAATACAGATTCCAAAGAGCATAGAACCAATGTGCACGTGAAGGAGATTAAATGAATATGATTTTGCCGGTGATAATCGGCAGGAGAGTTGTTTTCATATGCGTACGTTCACCCCGCGTGGGGCCTCGTTTAAAATAAATTCCGGTTACGGAGTGTCATGCCTAGAAATCCTGGAGTAAACAATAAACATACTAGAAACAAATGTTTCTTCCCCTCCCATGATAACCCTAAAATCACCAAGCGGTGTACACTTGTCCACATGGTGGAGGACTATTGCCGAGGAGGTTATCTTATACTCCAGCATTCCAGTCCCTACAGGTAGGGCGTAAGAACTGTACCTGCTGCCCCCATTGCATGATCGTACGAGGCGAATAAATTTGGGATCTTATCTTTTTTCTTCTTTCTTAGCAACTTTCTTCTTCATACTGTCTCCCTTGATAATGCCTGCTACCGAACTCGGAAGCATTTAGCGCCATTGCCATCAAAAGGGTAGTTGGGACGTGAAGCTATACAGCTTATGGTTTACAAATATTTTACAAATATGTTCTAGTTAAAATTATCTCTCCAGTGTGTATTGGTATAATAAAACGGTTAAAGTATGGGGATGAGGTTGTTAAAGTATAGAAGTTTCTGGTGTCCCTTGACCATGCCTATTTCCCCCGGCCTCGCCTCGGGAAATAGACCTGGTCTCGGGATACCATAAACTTGCTTTATACCTCAACCCCATACTTCAACTGTATACTAAACCAAACCAAACCAAATCAAACTCCAGCATTCCAAGTGACAAATGTAAATAATGAACATGGATTATACACTAACAATGCATTCATCCTGACTCAGAGATACTCCTTTCCCAAAGAGAACATCCTTTAGCGTTTCAAGATCCTAGGTGGAGATGGACAGATAGTATCCGCTTATTGTGCTAGTGGCATAGGGAAGAAAGATTCTTTGTTTTTCCCGGGATTAATCCTATTTCACCAGAGCTAAACCTAAAATCGTCCTCGTGAAACACATTTCTAGGGGAAACACGTGTTTCCTTACCGCAAGGGCAATACACATTCATTTACACCGAAATAGGTAAATAAAACAATAGTGAAGATGTTGACACTTCCGCGCCATCGTTGTCGTCTGTTTCAATGACTCTTACTAATACTTCTAGAGAGATTCCGAGTAAGGAAATTATGACCGAGGAATCTCAAGCTTATAAGGGGGATACACGATGTTTTTCCCCGTCATCTTCATCCGGAATCTTACGTTTTCATAAACTGATGGATTGAAAGAAAAGGATGTGACAGACTACCCAGGTACATACCTCATATATCGCACAGTATGTTTACCAGTAAAGGTTAAGGACAGAAAGCCGTGCTCACCATGACGTTATTGTCGTTGATCAGGATGTTAGAACCGAGAAGTTGGGTTTGTTGCTCATATGTGACTATCCCAGGATTCAAATTTTCGGGTTCTGAAATAGAGAAACAATCTTGTTATAATTTCATCGATTTTGAGAGAACAGTTTTAATAAATGAACAGGTACAGGGAAAAGAACTCAACATGTGTGTTGGCATTCTTGAAATTCTATGGGTTTATTCTCTTACTGGGCAGAGATCGTAAGATAGCGTAATGCCTCGAATTTCGAGGACATGGTGATGGTGTAGATGGCTGGAATTCAATACAAAGAAACCAGAATATAGATGTTGTGTTTCAAATACAATAGTAGACTTCGTCAAATAAACCATGACACCTTGCTTTTGATTTAATAAACAAAACTTTCCTAGTGAAATGCTATGATAAAAATATCGATGTAATAAATAACAATTGAGCAGAACAGCTGTAACAAATTACCATAAAATCTTCATGTAAGGTTCAGGAAACAACACATAATCTCAGGTATTCAGGTGACGTGTACACACATATATAGACAGGGGTCTACTGCATATATGACGTGTACACATACTTACATATTAAAGGAGAACACCAGCATCTCTGACGTGTACATATATGTATAGAAAGAATGGATATCGTATATACATGACGTAAAACATAGTTATATAAAGAAGGAATATCCTTTATACATGCCATTTACACATATATATAACAAAGAAGGGATATTCTTTATACAAGATGTGTACACGTGTTTATAATCAGAGAGGGTGTCTTCTAGGGGTTCGTTCGAGACGCTGTCCTGGACTGCCGGGACAGACGGAACAGCTCTCGACTGCGATGGCACAGCTGTTCCGGACTGTCCAATCTGTTCCCGCCGAGGAGGAGGTGTGGCGCGGCACAGTGACGTCACAAACATGGCGACTATCGAACAGGACTCGGTAATTTTACAAGTGCTCAAAGATCAAGAGGAAATTTCGCCCAAAAGTAATTGAAATTGATTTTCCCTATACATTGAGACTAGTTTGAACAACGTAACATATATAATTATTATGTGAATTTTTAGCTTTAGTGATTTTTTTACTTTTTTCAAAAATGTGTTTTCTTGATCCCTTCACGGTTAAATGAGCTGAATAAAATAAGGTGTAAGTTGGTAAAATCGATTGGACATTTATTTTTTAATCATCAAAAACCACCTGCCACCATGCTAAGGGTATTACAAACAGTCGAGAGTATGCCGACGCCATATTGGATTAAGTACTTCCTGTTACGGCGCATTCGAAACGTCCTGTACCAAAGAACAGTCAGGACAGGTTCTGGACAGGCGTCTCGAACACCCCCCTGTATACATGACTTATACACATATCTGTATACATTTAGAACTCATATATACACGACGTGCACACACATACCAAACGGAACGTTACACATGACTTAAATACATATCTTAAGTACACTGTCGTACCAAAAAAAGGAATGTTTTTTTTACAGATAGACATTTTACCTGTACACATGGCGTCCATACCGACAGCTGGAATCTCCGATGTACATGACGTCTGCACAACATACTTACTGACAGCTGGAATCCCCGATGTACATGACGTCTGCACAACATACTAACCGACAGCTGGAACCTCCGATGTACATGCAGCTTGGCGACCACCTTGGAAATCCAGCTGACATCTAAAGAGTCCACCGGTTGTCGGAATATCCGGGTAGAGAGAACTGTTAGATTTCGGGGCACCAACAAGTATCCTATAATATATAACCGTAATAACATATATCACCCTATATGTCATGAAAGATTCAGTTTTGAAACCCATTGTATAAATTCAAATATGAATCGTAACAGGTCTAGGTCTAGTACGTATGTCGCCTGTTGTTGTCATTAACTTATAGCTGTATGTGGCACAATTCTTCAAAAAGCAGTTTATAAGATGTGGCAATAAAGAGGTAATGATATTTTAATGTGTACTGTTTGGTCCACAATCGGCACAAGGTATGGCCAGGTGGGCTGACGTGCTAGGTGTCTTTGCATTCAGAACAATAGTGGCCGAGTCATCCTCAATACTCCACGGATGACGCTGAATTACGTTCTCTGCACCCTTGGAATATGTCAAAGCAAAATTGAAGGCACGGGGCCAGCTTTTTGATTAGCTTCAGGTAAAATAGAATCCTGATCAATCGTTGGCCTGATACCCGTCCTTTGAAGATTATAGGGGAACAACACCCGACTAATTTGTTTATGCAATCTAGTTTTTTAGTCTCATCCACAAGATGGTGTACATAGCCTTCGATTTTACTTTGACATATTCCAGGTGGGGAGGGGGAGGGGCAGACAGATAAGTAAGCGTAACCGATGGAGTATCGAGGATGTGGCCGCGTGGTATTGACAGTTTGATGTAAGTGAATGGTTGATGAAGAGTAAGAGGAACGAGTGGCCGAATGGTGTGGCATGTTGGGTGTTTGTGGACAAACTGGTTAGAATCATAACAATGTGTAACGGAGAGTGGTAACAGATTGGTCTAGAATTCGTATAGTGTGTGGGTGGACGGGGAAGCACTATGTTCGTTTAAAATGTGGAAGGGCATCCTCGATACCCCGGGGGTTACGCCATCCTCGATACCCCGGGGGTTACGCCATCCTCGATACCCCGGGGGTTACGCCATCCTCGATACCCGGGGGTTACGCCCACTTATACTCTCTGCACCAATGGAATTATGTTATGACAAAATCGAAGTCTCAGTGTGCGCCATACTGTGGATCAGACGAGAAGACTAGTTTGATCCTTTGTTGTACATCAAAAGAAGCTCGCGGTTGCGTAACGGTAAAATTGACTGGCTTTGAAGTCGGGTGTCGCTCCTCTGTAATTTTCAAAGGACAAGTAGCAGACTAGTGATTGGTCAGTTTTTTTAGTCACGTGCCTTCAATTTCACTATTATATATTCCAGGGGTGTAGAGAGCGAAAGTGAGCGTAACCCCTGGATATCGAGGTTGGTGGAATGGAGGAATGTCAATCTCTGGTATACAGGATCGCTTACACGAGATTGCACCCATATTCTCAGTAACACTGAGTATAAACAGGATCCAGAATCAGTATCAGTAGGTATGTAGTAAGTGTAGGGAACAAGTTGTAATAGATACAGGAGGAGTCGACGAGTGTTTGTAAGATGGGGAGATAACTACACGGGGAGGGTAATTACAGTCGCCTGCCATTAACTTTGCTTTGGATATAGCTGTAGCAAAGCTGAGCCAGGACAACTCCGATGATCAGGCAGGTCAGTTGGTTTGAGCGATGGTATGAAAATACAGGGTTCGAATCCTGGTGTAGCACCGCTACTTTGTTCCAGTTAGAACACTGTTGTTTATTATATTTTGTTTATTATCTCATCTTTATCACTTTTCTTAAAAGTCCCACAATGATTGTTTTTGCAATCATTATCACATAACTGACCAATCTCATAAATATTGTAATAAAAACGTGTAATAAAACTCAAAGGTGCTGCGATTGGTCAAAACCTTGGAAACACATTCCCACGCCATTACTTGTTCTATTTTTTAATACATTTTAAAGTATTTTTGCTATTAAATGAAATTGAAGTGTTTATTTTATCATAATTATTTTCATTGCATTTAAAACTTTACATTATTTGAAAGAAAAGTCTGGAACTACTTTGCAATTCGCGGAACGGCAAACCTATTATCGAGGTAATTTACACATGTGAATATGTATTTGAAATGTTGTAGAAACACTTTCTGAAAAGCACTTTACTCTATTTCCTCGAATTTTGACTTTTTTTTTTTCATTTGTGAAGGAAGGAAAAGATCGGGTAAAATTAATCGTAAAACAATTGTCAATTATTAATACAAACATGGTCTTGTCGAAAGAGGCTGTAGACAAGGCCACCCAATCGTACCGTGTATGTTCATTACTTCAGCTTAAAAACTAGTATATATTAGCAGTTAGACAAAGTTTCCTTAGCTAGACATTTTGACAGATAGATGTCTGTGAGGGCCAAAGTGCACTACTATATGTAAACGTGGAATTTTCCGACACCGTTTGGAGCAGAAGAGTTCCGACTCCAATTATTGGCGTAGCACTCATGTCATTAGGGTAATATCATAAATGTATTTAATTATAAACTAAATACTTATAATACTATGACAAATTTACAGAACGTTTAAGATGCCCTGTTCGGTTTTTGCTTCCAATTGGAATGAAGTAATTGTTTGTTTGCTGTTACCCGACTGACCCACTTAAAATGGAATCTAGAAATCTATAGTTTATTTTTGATGAAAAAACGCTGAAAATTAACCGATTTTCATGAAGAAGTCTGATATGTTTGTAAAGATCTACCTACTTACCCACTGAACAAAAGGTGAGAAGGGAAAACTAAAAATAAACTTTTATCATGGACAGCACTATTAGTATACATATAGTTATTCTGACGTCACGTTAGACTGTCATAGTGCGAGATGAATTGGTGGGAAATGATAAAGCTGAATTCTGTCTGGCTAAAACAAAACGAGTACTGCATGGCACATATTGTGTGTAATGTACTTCGTTTAATCCCACTGGGTACATACAAAAATGGTTTTAAATGACCGTCTCGGATAACACTTCTCATGCCTCAACAATCCTTTCCCACCAATTGACTTGGCATCGCGACCGTCTCACGTAACATCAGTAAAACTAAATGCATATTCGTTGTATTTTGTATATGATGTAGAATTTGTACAACCCAACTCTCGATCAGAATATGAACATAGATGGTTGTAGCTGCTTGGGAATTTAGGTAGTAATAACTCGGGAGTGAGTGACAAACCAAGCCACTGTACAGCACCCGGTTATGATTTGTTAATTGATAAAAATAAAACCAAGCAAATCGAATATCTCAATATTACTTAAATTGTTTTCTTATGTTGATAACAGTCAGCCAGACAACACCAATATGTAGGACTAGGCTGTATGTACAAAATAGAACAAGTGTTATTAACTTCGGAACGCTGTAAAATGGATCATACGCAGACACATCCTCGATATCCAGGGGTTACACTCACTTTCGCTCTCTACACCCCTGGAATATGTCATAGCAAAATTGAAGGCTCGTTGTGCGCCACCTAGTTGAAACAAGGAGCTAAATCGATCCTTTGATATACATCAAAAGAATATCGCGGTCACGTAACGGTAAAACTTGACATGCTTTGAAGTCGGGCTTCTCTCCTTTGTCATCTTCAAAGGACAGGTATCAGCCTAGCTATTGGTCAGTTTGTTTTACCTGAGACCAATCAAACAGATTTCTCCGTGCCTTCTAGTTTGCTATGACATATTCCAGGGTTGTAGAGAGCGAAAGGGAGCGTAACCCCTGGAGATCGAGGATGACGCAGACATGAGTTGAGAGAGTCCTACCACGCCCATTAATTTTAACCATATTTATAAATATTACAGGGGAAATGTGACATCCGTGTAACACATATACACACATCACTGTTAACGTCCTACATCAGAGTAGGCGACGTCCTCGCTACATCTAAGAGGCAGTGACTGTTTGATGCTGACACAATCCTCGTGTACATGTACAATAAACTATAGTGATGAACAGTCTAACTCGTCATCAAAGGATGTATTGTAGGGTCACGTTAGTAGTGTGTGTATAGCACTGCAGTTGGTGTCACTGACAAGGATTAGTAACTCGTGGGTCTTGGAGAGTTGGGAGGTTCGGACTAGGAGGGCCTGGAGGTTGGTTGGACTAGGAACTATAGGTTGATTTTGGACTAGGAGAGAGTGGTGGTTGCTTGTGGGTATTGACAAGATCAGTGGTTGGTGGGCTTAGGATAGATCAGTGGATGATGGGACTAAGATAGATCAATGGTTGGTGGGACTAAGATAGATCAATGGTTGGTTGGGACTAGGAGAGATCAGTGAATGGTGGGACTAGGAGATATCAGGTGTTGATGTGACTAGGATAGATCAGTGGTTGGTGGGACTAGGAGAGATCAGTGGTTGGTGGGACTATAAGAGATCAGTGGTTGGTGGGACTAGGAGAGATCAGTGGTCGGTGGGACTAGGAGAAATCAGTGGTTGGTTGGACTAGGAGAGATCAGTGGTTGGTGGGAGTAGGAGAGATCAGTGGTTGGTGGGAGTAGGAGAGATCAGTAGTTGGTGGGAGTAGGAGAGATCAGTGGTTGGTGGGACTAGGAGAGATCAGTGGTTGGTGGGACTAGGAGAGATCCGTGGTTGGTGGGACTATGAGAAAACAGTGGTTGGTGGGACTAGGGGAGATCAGTGGTTGGTGGGACTAGGAGAGATCTGTGGTTGGTGGGACTAGGAGATATCAGTGGTTGGGCGGACTAGGAGAGATCAGTGGTTGGTGGGACTAGGATATATAAGTGGTTGGTGGGACTAGGAGAGATCAGTGATTGATGTAACTAGAGATCAGTGGTTTGTGGGACTAGGAGAGATCAGTGGATGGTGGGACTAGGAGATATCAGTGGTTGGTGGGACTAGGAGAAATCAGTGGTTGATGTGACTAGAGATCAGTGGTTTGTGGGACTAGGAGAGATCAGTGGTTGGTGGGACTAGGAGAAATCAGTGGTTGGTGGGACTAGGAGAAATCAGTGGTTGGTGGGACTAGGAGAAATCAGTGGTTGGTGGGACTAGGAGAAATCAGTGGTTGGTGGGACTAGGAGAAATCAGTGGTTGGTGGGACTAGGAGAAATCAGTGGTTGGTGGGACTAGGAGAAATCAGTGGTTGGTGGGACTAGGAGAAATCAGTGGTTGGTGGGACTAGGAGAAATCAGTGGTTGGTGGGACTAGGAGAAATCAGTGGTTGGTGGGACTAGGAGAAATCAGTGGTTGGTGGGACTAGGAGAAATCAGTGGTTGGTGGGACTAGGAGAAATCAGTGGTTGGTGGGACTAGGAGAAATCAGTGGTTGGTGGGACTAGGAGAAATCAGTGGTTGGTGGGACTAGGAGAAATCAGTGGTTGGTGGGACTAGGAGAGATCAGTGGTTGGTGGGACTAGGAGAGATCAGTGGTTGGTGGGACTAGGAGAAATCAGTGGTTGGTGGGACTAGGAGAAATCAGTGGTTGGTGGGACTAGGAGAAATCAGTGGTTGGTGGGACTAGGAGAAATCAGTGGTTGGTGGGACTAGGAGAAATCAGTGGTTGGTGGGACTAGGAGAAATCAGTGGTTGGTGGGACTAGGAGAAATCAGTGGTTGGTGGGACTAGGAGAAATCAGTGGTTGGTGGGACTAGGAGAAATCAGTGGTTGGTGGGACTAGGAGAGATCAGTGGTTGGTGGGACTAGGAGAGATCAGTGGTTGGTGGGACTAGGAGAGATCAGTGGTTGGTGGGACTAGAAGAGATCAGTGGTTGGTGGGACTAGGATATATAAGTGGTTGGTGGGACTAGGAGAGATCAGTGATTGATGTGACTAGGAGAGATCAGTGATTGGTGGAACTAGGAGAGATCAATCGTTTGATGGGACTAGGAGATATCAGTGGTTTGGTTTACACTAGTAGAGACGGGTTGATTAGGAAAATAATTGTTGAGTTGTTTGTCGGACTAGGAATGGAGAGGAAATGGGACGTCGAGGAGGTTGAGAGTGTGAAGGAGATAAGGAAGGGAGCCATTTTATCGGAGGAGAATTGGTGCAGTAGGAGGAGGGAAAGGATGGGGAGTGATAAGGGCAGATTTAACCGAGGGAGATCTAGAATGAGGACGAAACTAAGCAAAAGTAGAATGTTTATTAACACTGAAGATTGTTTACGTTTTGGTTACATAAATATTTTACGTGGCTTGGAATGTTGACGTTAAGATATTCAGTTTCAATTTTCCTAATGATTGCTGCATAAAAATAACATTATAAGTTCTCCAAACCATTATCAAATATATAGATATAAGAGAGACCATCTATATCCTGGTTGGAATAGCTGGTTGTAGACCTTACCACGGCTTGTTTTCTACGTGAAACATCCCAGAGGAAAATCCAAATTGTATTCCCTTTTGAGGTCCGTTAACAATCACAAAGTTTTCCGTGTCTAAGTTGAATCCCAACACTCCTCTTACAAATACAGTCAGTAGTAGAAACACACAAGGCGGGGTCGCCATGACGAACCCCAACTTTCTTTGTAACACGCAATCCGCCGCAGAAACAGGCAACGTACTCGGTATTTCTTTTTAACGTTCAGATATATCCATACTTGAGAACACTCCTTAACTGACAAACTATTTGTAAATTTTGTATCCGTGATATTAACTTCACACAACTGACATACAGGCTTCAATTGTAACCTAGCGGATGTGAGAGGGGAAGCTGGAGAATGCGCGCACTGTAACCTTAATACTGATCACGTCCTTATCACCGCTATGCTAGTATGGTGTGCTTAACCGTACTTGAGAAATACGACTTAGCCAACTTAATCAAGAAAAAAACTATATCTTATCATATCGTAACCGCATGTGTGTGTAATGTGTAAATATGAGAGTATGGTCTAAACAAACTAGGACGTTAGCCCTGGAACAGACGGGGCGATAATATGGTTACTGGAGACTACACGTGTTGGGTCCTTACGACCAGATGGTTTCCATGTTTAAAATATATGTAAGGTTTACTTATCTCTGTGGTGGAAACCTGTGGAAAATCAAAACCAGAAGGAATCTAATTTGGTGAACCCTACCCACATATATAAGACAGGTTGTTTGTAATAATCCCCGTCAATATTAATACTATGTGTAATACTCCTAATTACCACTACTGCTGCTGTTTCCACTGTACAACACTACTGTACGTACTACATCACTGTACTGCTCTACTACAGGCGCTTCCGCCACCATCAACCCCACCTCTCATTATTTTGACTTTTATCGTAAATGTTTACAAAATGATTGAAACTTCGACCATTTTTTTCGTTGACTTTGTCTTTGCAACAAATCTATGTAAGTAGCTATAATTCGCCTGTTTATGCTATCTGATACGACCCAGAAGACTGCGCGACGAACCTTTACACAGCAGAAACACCCTATTCGAAATCCAATGATAAAAATCTGTTGATACATTTCCACTACACCCTTTTCTCGTGACGAAGCATCGGAGGCTGTAAGTGAACTATTTGATTGAAGTAAACAGTTCCAGACATCAGAATCTGACCACAAGCCAGGCTGATAGACAGCCTTTTCCATAGTCCATCTCAAGTCTGCCTCTATTACACAATTGTAACATTGCTGTCGGCTTTAGGAATTATTTTTAATATTTTAATGATTGCACCATTTAATGTTTTCATACCATATACCATTATTGGAATTTCATAACGTATTCATGATAGATTTGTTTATTTACAATAATGCTTTGCGTATACCGATTTCCGATAGGCATACATGCGTGTGCTTGCATTGCTTTTACTTCAGCCCTCTGCCCTGGGCGCTTTATACAATATAATATAAGACCAGGGCCCGTATTCATGAAACCGTTCACATGCCCAAGCATGGATTTTGTGCTCAAATCTAATTTTTTGTTCCGATTATAAAGTATTTACAAAATCTTGTGTTGTCAATAATTTGGGAAACAATTGAAGAGACTTAAAGATAAATACTGTATACCTTGTTTACAATAGAATTTTTGATCGTTTGACATGATTTAAGCGAATTACAATTAAGCTGACTTGAACACAGAATCTATGCTTGAGCATGAGAACAGCTTCATGAATACGGGCCCAGGTTTTTTGTTCATTACAGCCGGGCTATAATTTGCGGTTCTATTACAACCAAGTTCGTAGGTCGTCTCAAAGCCGTTCACAAATTATTATCCGTGGTTATAGGGCCTTTGCAATCAGCATTTAACTTTCGTGCATGGTATAGTTTTCTTTTCAGAAATAATGTATCAAAGCTGTCGTCATACAGGAAAAACAGTTTATAATGCGTAGTAACAGGTTTTGGCTGTGGTATGGGGACCCTGACCTCTAACCTCTCTATCAGGAAATCCTATTAGCAATGACTGTTCCGTAAACATTTGTGTTAAGTTGCTCTTGTGTATGTAAGTCCACGAGTGGATGTTACCACAAAACAAATACGCCCTTTCCAATGCCACAACATTCGCACGTATTAATCACACAATGTGCATCTAATAAGCATTAGGACGAACCGGAAACTTACTCTCTAAGTATTCTACTTCCGGTCAAAATGACATTCCGGAAACTAATTAGTAGCTTAACTATGAGATGTCGGTGTAATGAAAAAACACAGGTTTTTAGAGGTCCGTGACCTAGGGATGATGGTAAGGATGCTGGGAAGGTCGGAATATAAGAAAGGGAATGTGAAGAGGGTCAGGGTTTTCAGGATAGGATTTAGTGAGAGCGAGGTCTAAAGGGGGCATGTGGAGAGGGTCGAGATTTACGGGATGACACGTGATAAGGCTTTGAGGGAAGACAACCACACATCGTCTCGACCACATTTGCAAGAAAAATGTGGAGATATTCGGCAGGTTTCATAGGACCGTTAGCTACATAGAGCGTCCTAGAATGGCATATTCGAGCTAAATACGCACTGCATGCTATATTGTATGATAAATTATATAAATGAGATCAGAAATAAAAGATGTCTTTCTTATTCTCAAATAATGTAATTAAAGATATCAGTGCGAGATGAAAATTCTTATTTGTGAAGTGAGAATGATGTTCCAAAGGCACCACAAATAAAATATAGGAAAGTTCAGTTAAATTCTAGAAATACAAGTATGATTTTGTAACTAGAGAAGAAATTGGGTCGTGGAATACTTTTTGCTGTGACTGTAAATAAATACACGTATAAATCAGTTTTGCTGGCTACACTTACTGTAAATGTATGATCTGCTAATAGGATGTGCCAATTGACCTCTTTTGTGTAGTTTCCGGTCTGTGGAAACATTTGTGCGTGAATGCGTTAAAAGGATATCACGTTATTCTGTTTGCAGGGAAGTGAAGTTTGGTAAGGGATCAAAATAGGATTATAAATAGTCACCATGGTTCTAATGAACGTGACTTTCAATTACCCGGAAGTTATTTTATTGTTGAAGGCGTGGTGTTGATATTGTGGCCGATAAGCCGCTGGTGTTAGTCAAATCCATTGTTATCTAACGATAGTTAAAGTCGTATTCCTGGTACAATGTACTTGAAGCAAGTCCTATACACCACGCAGTCTCGTAACATTTTAGCATAAAATAACTAAATTATAAGTGTTAAAACAATTATGAAATAAGTTTTTCCATCTGATCTCAATTACTCTTGTTGGCCTAGATTGAAACGCGCAGAAGATGTTAAAGTTTGAGGAAACCGGATTACCCAGTGATAACCCACGTGCTGGACTTCTCACATGTCCTCTTTTTGTAATAACTAATCATCACTTCCTGGTATTTAGACCTTCGGAATAAGATTCATCACTTTGGTATGAAAAATGAAGACTACATTATGTAAGTGTATTTTGAACACAAACAGGAAGTTTTACGAGCTTTCGAAAACGCCTGTTTCCTTTGTCAAGCAAGGAGTGCAAACAACAGGTGTCCTCATCTAGGCCGTTTTTGAAAATTGTTCAGCGAATGGGCAGACACATTACTATTTAGACGATAATTTGTTCTTCCTTTTCATAACAAGGAGTGGCACTGTAGTCTAGTGGTAGGACGCCGGGCTAGTGACCTAAGGGTGGCGGGTTCGAGTCGCGGCACGGCGCTGTGTTGTATCTTTGAGCAAGATAGTTTACTCCGCTTGTTTCAGTATACTTAGCTGTAAGTGAGTACGTGGTTGGGCAGTGCTAGAAGAAATGGCAGCACCGGATGTATGCTCTCCGGGGAGTTGAGAAAGATATTGGCGGTTTGCAAAGGCCCTAAAACCACGGATACTAATTTGTGAACCGCTTTGAGACGACATAATAACTTCGTTGTGATAAAGCGGTATATAAGAACCTCGAATTATTAATATTAATATTATTCATAATAATTTTATGCTGGGGAATTCTTTTTTCCAACGCATGAAGCCTGTTGACACTTTTTTTTCGGTAACATCTCTCTACGGATTAACAAAAGCGATGATCTCCTTATCGTAATGTTATCATGAGTATATGGATTGAATCTGGACTTTTCTATCGTTCATTCCTGAATGAAGTATTTACTTACACAAAACGTGAGCGACCTTAGCGAAGCGAAGGGGTTCAAACGAAGTGAGTAATTAAATTGTCCCCCGTTCATACCTACATTGACATTGGACAAATTCCAAATCACTATTAATGGGTAGGGAAACATAAAACATCATTTTAATTATGAAGTGTTTCTTTCATTCTTAAATTTTGTAAATAACCATCGCAACGTCATTTCGGGCCGTGATCGCCTCATTCGACTTGAGCGATCGTGTTGAGAAAATGTTTGAGGAAGCAAATAATAAACTATAACCTAGGCGTCTCCGCCAAGAAAAAGTGTTCAACAGTTTAGTCTGGTGTGAATGCAAACTTGAGGGGTAGTGATTCGGGAGCTCGGAGATATATCGGCAAGTGATGACATCCCGTTTAATAAAGCGGTGCGTTATCTAGACTTGTCACGTTTTTTGTTTCAATTAGTGGGTAGTGGGAGGAACGTTATGCGACGTAATTCCGATCCCACATCCCTCGGCGTTTTGGTTGTTGGTAGTCTCGGCCTCGGGCTTTGAGCGGTGTAGGCCTACTGTTCAGAATAACGCGATCGGCGTTAGCCATGTTCGTGGAAATGTAGGAATATGTGTGTGAGTAAATTAACCTCTGTTCATACGTTTTAATGTTTGAAACATCCCGATAAATTCCCTTAATCGTCAATTGTTTTATCGCTGTGCACAGACCCATGATCGTCAACGAAATACCTTGTTAGTTTGAGTTTCGTCGGATTGACATCATTACTACAGACGACAGAACAGGTCACTTTTGTGAAAATGGTGTAGTCTACAAAAACAAAGTTGTTTCGTTTAATGGGAGACAACTCGAACAACAACTGCTGTGGAATTAGAAAATCTTAAAAATATTCTCATGAAAAAACAGATGTTCATACTAATACTAACAGATGTTTTTGGGGTCACATGTGCGTCTAGTAACCAATCACAGAACTTGTAACAAATCACAAAAACATTTTTGTAACTATATGATTATATCTTCCTTTGTCAATGGTATATGAAAGCGTTGGTATTGTACGTTTTACTTGTCTATCTGGATATGGAATTTGTTTTCAATATTTTTTATAGAGCTTCTTTGTATTTTTCACTCTGTTTCTATGTATTATTTTGTTTCAAAAAACAAGGCTGTGAACATGCAAACTCAAAATGTAGGAAGCGGAAGAAATGTCTCAATTTTCAAATGTGTAC